TAAAAATACAAAAAACTAGCTGGGCATGGTGATGCGTGCCTGTAATCCCAGCTACTCAGGAGGCTGAGGCAGGAGAATTGCCTGAACCCAGGAGGCGGAGGTTGCGGTGAGCCAAGATCGCGCCATTGCACTCCAGCCTGGGTAACGAACGAGAGCGAAACTCCGTCTCAAAAAAAAAAAAAAAAAAAAAAAAAAGGAAAATTCTGCCCATGACTCTGTTGTCCTTACCATCTGCCTAAATAATTTATTTCTATCACCTGCATCACTGGCTTCCTCCCACCCACCAAGTTGTCCTTAAAAACTGCTTCCTGAATGCTCTGAGGGACTGATTTGAGTTTTGACTAAAACTCTGGACTCCCACACAGCGGGGTCTGCATGAATTGCTTTTCCTCTATGGCAGTTCACCTGTCTTGGTAGCTTGGCTCTGTCTAGGCATTAGGCAAGGTGAATCTGCTGGGTAGTTAGGTTCTTACTGTTACAATTTTTGCGAAGGTGATTTCAGTCACGCCACCAGCAGTACAGGCCTCACCTGGGAGATCGTTAGAAACGCAGAATCCCGGACCCAGGGAATTTGAATTCGCAGTTTAAAAAGATCCAGGTAATTCATAGGTGCATTAAAGTTTTAGAACTACTGCTGTAAGTGACATAAATTCTTGATAAATAATTTTCTGATTTTCATTCTGAGGTTCCCTGGGCTGCCCAAACGCATGTGTGGATAAGGGTTGAGGAAAGGGATGAACATTGGTGTTTCTCTTCACGTGAATTTGATGTTTGTTTGCACATTTCAATGTATTTATATATTTTTAAAAATGGAGCAGTTGTTCCTAGAGCAAAACTTTTGTATTCACCTAGAAAATCCATTTCAACTATCTGAGTTAATTTACCAACAGTTCCCAGAAGAGCGAGCTGCAATGCCCCACACCTTTTTTTTTTTTTTTTGTCCGTTCACCAGTGTACTGAAGTCAGAAAGTAATTGGTAAAATGTTTAAATCCACATTATTTCATTGGATGTACCAACACTTGTATTTGCTAGGTAGGTATTCTTTACTTTGTGGATAAGTAAAGAGGAAGACTGAACTGTTTCCCGACTCCCGAATTCCGGCTTCCTTCACAGTCTGTGGTCCTACTGCGGGCTGTTATAATACCAGAAATACCAGGACATATGGAGAAGAACTGAAGCAAAATGCTGTCTACTAAACACTTTTGCCTAAGGCTGGGCTTAATTCTTAAAAAGGCAGTTCTGCTCTTAGCTGAGTGGTCTGGCTAAATCCAAGTAGACTACACCAGTATTTACTGTGTTCCTTTGCTAAGCGCCTTTTAGCTGCTTTTAACACAACGTTATCCACATTGCTAGGACTTTGAAAACTTAAATAAAATATTCTGTTAATGTGTTTGCAAGAATTTTAAGGGTGAGTTAATGTCAAGGTAACTCTGAACAAGGTTTTATACATGTGTAGGATGAACAAGACTGCCTTGATATTCCCCTCAACTTGACTAAACTTTAAGACAGATTTCTTCCTGACTACAGATCTTTTCTTAGATTATTTACTTTAGAAATCTTCCCATTATAAATTCTTTCTTCTTATTTCATATTTAAATCTTTCTCTAGCCTTTTATCAGTTTTACAGCCCAGAAATACCTTTCTCAAAAAACTGGGAGCCATTTCTTTGAAAAATAATAATCAAGAAAAATAGTTCCCTCATCTCCCCATCTCTGTGGGAGGGTAGGACTCTCACTTCCGTATGTGCCAGTTAGCAAATATTAATGGCCTCATCATGTTGACCCATGTTCCCCACTAACATTCTCCAGGACTTTTTCACTAGCATATGCCAGGCTTTACAAACTGTCCTGCCTTTTGTTCAACAGAGTTGAATACAGTCTCCCTTCCCTATTGAAACAGGCTTGACCCTATTGCAACAATTTTGAGTAGTCGTCTTTGACTGTTTAACTTCGTTCAATGCAAATCTTCTTTGAGAATAACCCACAGAGATGCAAATACAATAAGGTTGTCGTATTAGCTACGTGCATACTGCAGGCATTCTTTATGTCTCATTATTAGAAAATACTGTGTAATTGAGAAATATGGATATTTTCCTCTACCCTTGAAACCACTGAAAAGTAATACTGTAAACAAAGTGACCCCTGTTCAGTGTCTTTCCCTTATATCTTCCTAAAACACATGATTCTACCGTTCTTCCCACTTCAAGGGCCACAGTTTCTCATTTGCTGACTTTTCTTGTGTTTTCCTCTAAATGTGAAAATAAGATTTTATTCTCGGCTCTGTGAAGCCTGGCCATGAAGTAACAAACTTACTTTTGATTTTACAGGCTCATAGGTGGGACTTGCCTAGTCTCAGATGAGACTTTGGACTGTGGGCTTTTCAGTTAATGCTGAAGTGCGTTAAGACTTTGGGGGCCTGTTGGGAAGGCATGATTGGTTTTGAAATGTGAGGACATGAGATTTGGGAGGGGCCAGGGATAGAATGATATGGCTTAACTCTGTGTCCCCAGTCAAATCTCATCTTGAATTGTAGCTCCCATCATTCCCAAGTGTCATGGAAAGGACCCGATGGGAGGTAAATGAATCATGGGGGCAGGTCTTTCCCGTGCTGTTCTCATCATAGTGAATAAGTCTCAGGAGATCTGATGGTTTTATAAAGCAGAGTTTCCCTGTACAGGTTCTGTTTTGTTTACTGCCACGTAAGATGTACCTTTGCTTTCTGCCAGGATTGTGAGGCCTCTCCAGCCATGTGAAATGTGAGCCTATTAAATATCTTTTTCTTTATAAATTACCCAGCCTTGAGCACGTCTTTATCATAAGCATTTGGACTGATAGAGTATGGTACTAGGATAAGACATAGGCCAATGGAACAGAATAGAGAACTCCAAAATTAATCCATGTGTCTACAGTCAACTGATTTTTGACAAACATATCAAAAACACTCATTGTGGACAGGACAGTCCCTTCAATATATGTTTCTGGGAACACTGGGTATCCATATGCAGAAGGTACTACTTCTGAAATGTGATCAAGGCTGTTCCGTGATCATGTAAGAAAATTCTTACCTTACTATATCCAGTGGTGCAGGATATATATGTATTTTTTTTATTTGTATGTGGCAACAAGTTATAAGTTATATTGAAGGATGATTATAGGTTTCTATGTCACAGCTAAAAGCAATCATAACACTGACAAAAAGTCATCTGCTTTTTAAAAATAAATACATGTTATTTTAGAATAGTTTTAAGGTTGTGGAAAAATCGAGGGCAAGTGCAGAATTCTCATTTATCACTTCTTCCTCCCACACAATTTCCCTTAAGATTAACGTCTCCCATTAGTGTTGTACCACTTGTCTGGATGAACACATATTGATACCTTATGAGTAAGTCCATCGTTCAGGGTTCCCGCTTTCTGTTGTATATTCTGTGGGTCTGACAAATGTATGAGATGTATCTGAAGCAGCCTTGTTGTCTGGGGTAAATACCAAGATCCCTGGTCTCACGGCCAAGGAAGTTGAGGTCTTGGACACAGACACACATAGAGTGAGTTCGGAGCAGGAGTTTAATAGGCAAAAGGAAAAACAGGTCTCTATGACAAAGAGGGGTCCCGAGCCTACTGCCAAGTTGTAACAATGTCGGGGTTTTTATAAATGGGCCAGTGAGGAGGGGCCTCGTCAGCAGGGGATGTCTTATCCTCCTAGGGCCCCAGGGTTTAGTTGGGACCAGGTGTTCTACATGCACAGAGCAGAGTCTTTTATCACACATAGACTCTTAGTCCGTGTTTTCTGGTCCTGCTATCTGGGAGGGAGAGTTTCTGTGTCTGTTCCCCCGTACCTTGCAGCTGTAGGCATCTTGGTGCTTATTATGGCCTGCTGTTTTACTGGGGTCCACCGTGTAGGTGTGAAGCTTGGCGATGGACCCAGGAGACTCCCAGCACCCGCCCCAGTCCTTCAGAGTCTGAGCTCTCATTTGTGTTTTCCTGTCTGCTCTTTCAGGCTGCTTGTTGTTACAAGTGATTTCTTTGAGTGGCATGAGGTTAGAAAGGGAGCTATTTCTGAGCTGCTTTTTGTTAAGTTTTCCAACCGAAGTGATGTCTTCCTGCTCCTGGAACATATCCACCATGACACATAGAATAGCTTCGCCACCTAAAACGCTCCTGTGCCCCAGGGTGGGAACCGGCTCCGGGTCGAGGCCTCCCCTGGGTTCCCCCAATCCCCGGGCTCTGCCTCCAAATGAGAGACACGGGACAAGGGCGTCCATCCTCTGCGTCCTTACCACCGACAAGGGATCCAGCAGACCCGGACCCGCGCTCCCAGCTGGAGGCCGGTCACGTCCCTGCCGGAGGTGGGACAGGGAGCCCAGGAATCACCTTCCGGTCGGTTTGGGCTTCCAGCTCGGGTCCCAGGCGCCGGCGGCTGCCGGGGAAATGGAAGGCGGGGGATCCAGCCGCAGGGAGACCTCGGGGCGCCGGGAGGTGGGGCCCTGTGCCCGCAGCCACGCCTCCCGCCCCGCCCCGCCCCCGCCCCGCCCCCGCTCCGCCCCCTCCCCGCCCCCGCTCCGCCCCCTCCCCGCCCCCGCTCCGCCCCCGGGGCTGCGGAGCGGACTTGAGGCCAGCAGACGCGGGGACCGGAAGGGGTTCCGTAGATGGGGGCCCGGGTTGGCGCCGGAACCGGAAGGCGTTCCGTAGGTAGGGGCCCGGGTGAGCGCCGGAGCGCCCAGAAGCCCCCGGGGCGCCCGCCTAGCAGTGGCCGCGAGTCCCGCCGCCGCAGCGCTCTTCGGTTCCGCTTCCCAGCCGCTTCTGCAGCGCTCTGCCTTGGGGTGAAGGAGAAGCCGGCACCAGGAGCGCCAGAAAAAGCGGGAAAAAGCGCGTCGCCTCGATTTACCCAGTGTGACCGCGCCAGGGCCTTCTCAGTTGGGTGAGCATCCGCGCCGACCAGGCCATGGAAGGACAATCTGTCCGAAGCCTCCGCACCTGTCACGGGCCTCTGACCTGCCTGCGTCATCAGAGTTTGCAGAACTTTGGGGGACCTGAGAAGGGGTGTCCCCTGGACAGGACACGGGTGTCTGTGGCTTACGGGCTTTTGGAAGGACAGGGAGAGGGAAACGGGGGATCCCAGTGGCCTGCTTCAGGGCCACCCAGTCGCCCTCTCCGCACACAGCTCTCCGATCCAGCTTGTTCGTCCAGCCTGGGGTGGACACGTGCACGTGCTGCGATCTCAAGCGGGCTTGGCATTTTATTTGGAAGGTAGGCATCTATTTGCAGCTGGCCTGAGCCCCTTGTTTTCTTCCCACCTTTCTTGGGAAACTTGGTTTTAAGGGAGGTGTGCCACTGTTTTTGTAACACGGTGCTCTTAGCTCAGCATTCGTGGTGCTATTGTAACCGTCCAGTGGGTTCACCTTGCCTGCTGCCGAGATAGAGACGATTTATCAAGACAAGGGAATTGCAGTGGAAAAGAGTAATTCATGCAGAGGCGGCTGTGCAGAAGACGGGAGTTTTATTACTACTCAAATCTGTCTCCAAATCCGTCTCTGGGAGCATTCAGGGATCAGACTTTTTAAATATGATTTAGCAGAAGGAACATGGGAAGTGGGGAGTGCTGATTGGTTAGGTTGGAGATAGAATCATAGGATGTCAAAATGAGGTTTTTTTTTTTTTTTTTTTTTTTTTTTTTTTTTTTTTTTTGGCTATCTTCTGTTCTTGGGTGCGATGGCAGAATTGGTTGGGCCAGATTACAGGTCTGGGTAGTGTCAGGTGATCCATGGAGCACAGGGTCTGCAAAATATCTCAAGTACTGACCTTAGGTTTTACAATAGTGATGTTATCCCCAGGAACAATCTGGGGAGGTTCAGACTCTTGGAGCCAGAGACTGCATGACCCCTAAACTGTAATTTCTAATCTTGTAGCTAATTTGTTAGTCCTGCAAAGGCAGAGTGGTCCCCAGGCACGAAGGAGGTTTCTTCAGGGAAAGAGCTATTATCAATTTTGTTTCAGAGTCAAATCATAAACTGAATTCCTTCCCAAAGTTAGTTCAGCCTATGCCCAGGAATGAATGAATAGGGCAGCTTAAAGTTTAGAAGCAAGATGGAGTCAGGTAGGTCTGATTTCTTTCACTTTCATAATTTCCTCAGTTGTAATTTTTCGAAGGTAGTTTCACTTTATCTGTTTAAATGTCCATCTCTCGACTAGACATCAGAAGGGGGCACCTGCCCTGGCTGGGTCATTCGAGAAAATCTGTCTAGAGTTCTGCAGATATCTCAGATGGTATTTTTTAAAATTGAACTTGAATCTACAATTATAACAAAATATAATGTTTGATTTACAAATAACTGCCAACTTTAACTCCCATTTGAGTTAGAAATCAGAGTATAATCAGCACTTAAGTTTATCGTACCTTGTTAAAGAAAAATCTTGAGGTACAATAAAACTTTAAAAAGTTTATTTGAGTAAGAAGAATTCATAAATTGGGAAATATCAAACCAAACGTTGCTTAATGATCTGGACTTTTATGGGGTAAATTTGAAAACAAATCATTTGATTGGTTGCAGTTACATATTTGCCTTATTTGATTTACTCCGTCGTAAAGTCCCTAGTTATGAAAGTGCATTGGCTACATCTGATTGGTTGAGTTTAAGTTCTGTTTTCTTTCAAATAGAGAATTACAGAAATAAGTTTCAGTTATGTTTTCAAATCAGTCAAGGTTAAGGTCAATTCTGAGGCTTCACTGGGTTTGTCTGCTCAGGGATTCTTCAGGCCGCTGTCCATTTTAATTTACTTTAGTAACCTTTACACATAAAGAAACAAGAAATTCTAAAGCTTTTCTCTGGCTTACAGGGAAAAATATTATCCAGTCAGAAGATGAATGCATCGATTTGCAATGTGACAGTTACTAAGTTTACACAAACGTTTATATTGCAGTCTTTCATAGGACAAAGCTACAGGTTGATATTTAGGTGTCTTAGAAGAGCTTTCTTTCTATAGATGACATTACTAGAATCTTATATAATAGAACACAAGACAGAGCTTTACATTTATAAATAATATCTGCACTTCATCAGGAGAGTAATACTGATGCTTTTGTGAATTTTATCAATTTACTGTTTTATAAGAGCCAGATTTTAGGATTTCAGCTGTTGGGGAAGAGGAGAAATTTTCTATTTCATTTTTCTGAGACACTTTCTACTAGGATTTATTAATAAAAAGGAATTTCAAGTGTAAGTATCAAGTATGGACTTGAGAAGTTTAAAACTTACATTATAAAAAAGAAAAGGGCATGCCTGCCTTTTTTTTCTTTTTCTTTCTTTCTTTCGTCCAGACCTGCAGGACAACAAAAGGAGCTGGAAGGGAGGGAGTGGGGATGGATGGGAACAGGAGATGCGAAGAATGGATACAAGACAGGAGTCTGATCAAGTCTGGTTTATTGTAGCTAAGTTCATAGCTTAAGTAAGCGGAGGCAGAGAGGCAGGCAAGGGTAGCTTGCAGTGGGGAAATTCCGGCCTAAGTAAGTTTCAGTAGACTGAAACTTATCAGCCGGGAAACAAATTCTGGCCTACTTAAGTTTCAGTAAACAAACTTATCAGCCTACCTAGGTAAGTTTCAGTAAACTGAAACTTATGGGTGGGGGGGAACAGTAAACTGAACTTACGCAATCCACAACATGGCTGAGCAGATCACAAAATGGCGGCTATTGCAGCCCACATCTTTCTTGTTTCTTTATTTTCCATCCTGGAAGCAGTGCTCCACTAAATCTCCTAAAATTACACTGTTAATTACTAATACCCCCCTTGCACAGCTGCTTTCATGGGTCCCCAGTACCTATATCTGGCCATTTACTGTCACTAACCTACTTTTGTAATATAATTGTTACCAATTTTTATACTTCTCTTCTTCAGGTACTCTATACCAGTGATTCTCAACACAGGCTTCCTTTAAGTGTCATTTGGGAGAGGGATTTCTCAGAAAATATGGATGTTCAAATTCCACCCCCAGAGGTCCTGATTTAGTCTGTTGTACGTTATAATTGTTTTTAAAAGCACACTAGTAATTCACATGTGTAGGCAAGGTAGAAAATTATTGTTCTGTCTCATTCCTTATAGCTGAAATAACTTCAATTTTATCTCTCACAATCTGACCCTTCCTTTAAGATTCCGTGAAAGTGCCATCACCCCCTCATTTTTCTCCCAAGGAAAGACACTCTCTGCCTTCACTTAGACCACAGGTGGTGCAGTTGGCAAGTTAATTGTAGACCAAGTTGATGATGTCCTACTAGCACCATTGACTTTCCTATAGCTTTTTAAAATTTTATGTATTCTATTTTTAGTCCCATTTCTGACCTGCCCTCTCTGTCAGAGTTTGCAGAACCTTGAGGGGCACAAGAAGGGAGTTCTCCCAGACAGGCCATGCTGTCTGTGGCTTAAGGGATTTAGACCACAGATAATACATTGTGTGTAAATTATAGTGTGAGTTGATGCCACACTGTCCTCATTGACCTTTCTATAGCCTCTCTTAGTTATGTATTCTCTTTTTAGTCCTACTTCCCAAACCCCTATAGGCAGGCACCCATTCTGATGTATTTAATGTGTGCTATTTTATTTTTTTAATACAGGTATTGTTTTCTGCACAAATATATTTAGTAAATATTTGTATTTAGCATAGTGAACAGTTATATATCACGAGTGTATACTTAATTCTTACAAAGTGAGCACCATCCATACAACCACTACTCTTCTTATGAAATAGAATTTTACCAGCAGTGTCAAACCCTCTTGGACCCTTGCCAGTCACCTTTTCCTTCTTATTTCACAAAAGAATCTTCACAGATGACTTTTGTCTGTTTTAAATTTTATATAAGCGTAAAAGCTCAAGATGTATGCAGTAGTGTCTGAGTTCTTGTGCTAAATACTATGTTTTTGAGTTCATCCATGGCATTGCCTATAGTAGGAATTTCTTCCTGTTTATTGTTGTATATTACTTCATAGTATTAGTGTGCAATATATCTCCATTCTACTTGTAATGGGAATTTGAGTTTTCAGGTTTGCTACAAGTAATGCTATTATGACCACTTTGTGCATGTTCTTTTGTGTGTGTGTGTGTGTTTCATGGGGAAATATACTTAAGAGTAGAATTACTAGATCAGGATTTGGTTATGTTTAACTTCAGTAGTTATGTCAGAGAGTATTACACTGTTGTTAGATTTGTTCTCCTACCAGCAGTGTGTTAGAGTACCAGTAGCAGCACATTCCCCTAAAAATATTTATGTTAGTCTTTTTGTTTTAGCCATTATAGTGGATGTTTAGTGATATCTATAAGGTTTTTTCCTGTGTCCAGTGTTATCCCTGAATCTGGTAATCTTTGAATTATCTCCTCATATCTGGTGATATTTGAATTATTTGCTTATCCAGAGCATTCTGTGAGTTCAGGGTAAGGAGTTAAGCAAATAATTTCAACGTCACCACATAGCAAACCGTTGATGGCTCGGTTTCAGCTTCCTTCCTAAAGGCATTTTCTAATCTGTTCTGCTAAGCTACAAGATGACAGCTGCAGAGACTTCACAGAAAATGTTAAAAATAGACCTTACATTCAGAGATGGCTTGGAAGAGAGAGAATCTGGTAATGTAATTGATGGCATTTGAAAAAATAGGGACAACTTTTCTTCCACTGCAGCATGAAGGAAGCTGGGTTTTAGGAGCATTAGCACTTCATAGTCAGTCTCTGTAGAAGTGATATGTTTGCAATTTAGGGATGGTTTGGAGAATAGATGTGTAATTGCTACATCAGTTATTGTACTGTGTATGTTACTTAAATATGTCTGGGGTAAGAGAAACGAACAATGAATTAAGATTATAAGAAGATGAAGGAAAAAATGTTCTTTGTGTTTATATTGTTAGTGCTGTTTTTGTTAGATGTTGCCCTGCAAACATAGGGGCTTTTCATTTATTGATCCACGGCTTTTGACTTACAGATCCTTTGTAATTAAAAAGAGATGTGGAGATTTGAGGGTAAGAGGGAGAAACAGACCCTGCCCACAAGCAAACCCTTCAGCATTTCAATATATGACAAATTTTCTGAGAAAGAACAAGCGTGTAATGGTGTATGTTTGTGCTTCAGTACAGCAGAAAGGAGACCTTTACTGAACCTCTTTTGCTTTTGAAAAAACAGTTATTTTATTCTTTTTTTCTCTCTCTCTTTCTCTCCTCCTCCCTCAATTTTATTTATTAAATTTACTTTTATTCCGGAGTTCAGGATACTGCCATTTCATAGAAAACAGGGTACTTTTTTTTTTTTTTCCTCCAAACTCTGCCGGACCCGACTCTGCCCAGGGTTCTTAAACATACGTGTTCTAAAGAGTGTATGGACTAACTCAAATGTTTCCAGAACTGAAACTAAGCAAAATATTTGCAGAACTGAAACTAAATATTTGCTACTTGGTGCAATTGTGAAACTTGTTTTTTAAGATGCATTGCTCCCCTCCCTGTGTCCATAAATGGGGGAGGGACGGGGCGGAGGGTGGGGAGGTGGGAGAGATAGCATGGGGAGAAATGCCAGATATAGGGGAAAGGAAGGAAAGCAGCAAATCACACTGCCATGTGTGTACCTATGCAACAATCTTGCATGTTCTTCACATGTACCCCAAAACCTAAAAGGCAATGAAAAAAATAGTTAAAAAAAAAAAAGATGCATTGTGGTGTTGTTTGGATCCTGAAACTGAGTTAAAATTTGACCAGTAATATGGTTTATTTCTTTGTTCCTCTGAGGCATAATTCCTAATATTGTTTTTCCAACTAGAAATCTGAAGGGTATTGTGTTCAGGTGTACTTTAAGAGCGATATGTGTTCTCACTCGTAGGCTGGTGTTGAACAATGAGAACACATGGACACAGGGAGGGGAGCACTACACACTGGGGTCTGTTGGGGGGAAATAGGGGAGGGACAGCAGCGGGTGGGGAGTTGGGGGGAATGGCATAGGGAGAAATGTCAGATATAGGTGAGGGGGAGGAAGGCAGCAAATCACACTGCCACTTGTGTACCTGTGCAACTATCTTGCATGTTCTTCACATGTACCCCAAAACCTAAAATGCAATAAAAAAAAAGAGTGATATGAATTTGCGGGAGTCAGGACACACCATAAGAAAGATAGAAGAGAAATAAGTAAGAGAGAGAAATGGAACAAGATGCATGCAGGAATATTGTTGTAAGCCTTTTCCATAGTTCAGCTAAAAACGAGATTCTCTGTCCCACGGCCATGAAAATTCAGGCTTGCAGAGTGTTTAAAGGGTGAGTGAAGCAGGGTTTTATTTGGTGAAAAAGGGAAAAAGAGGGGGAAACAGGTACTCTCGCAAGGCCAGAGGCCCTCTGCTAGAGCTCTTTCCACCTGGCAGTTTGAATCCCAGGTTCCACACAGGAGAACGAGGGGCCAGGCCCAGGCTCATTCCTGCTGCAAACCTTGTGAGCTTCCCAAGGCCCCCCTCAGTGGGCAAGCTGGTTGGAGTTTCTCTAGGGACTCCTTCCCACCTGGCTGTCGCAGTATTAGTTGGAGGAGCTAGAGGTGTAAAAAAGAAGAAGAGTACTAGGGACATTTACATTAGTAAGAAAGGCAAATGGGAGATTTGGGGTAAATTTTAAGGGGAGAGCTACATATTCACTTAGTAAGAATGAACACTAATTATGGAAGTCTTAGTATTCTGAACCTTTAAGACAATTTTGCATTAGTGTGGAACCAGAAAGAATAAAGGTTGAGATTTTTATATGAGCAAAAATCCAAACAATATTCACTGCTTAAGATCATCCAATCTTACCCATCTTTTTCCCTGTCTAGAATCTAAGCTGAAGCTCCTTGTTATTCTTGGAGATGTGTGTTAAATGAAAGAAAGTTGGCAGGGACTTTTAAATACTACAATTTATATTCAGTAAAATTCACTCTTTTGGTGTGAATTTCTACGAGTGAATTTCTAAAATCACTCTTTTGGTGTACATTTCTATGAGTTTTGATAAACATGTATTCATGTAATACCATCAAAGTCAAGATACCGAGGCATACCCACCCACTCCAGATTCCCTCATGCTCCTCTGCAGGATATCTCTTCCTCCACCCCCAGCCCTTGGCAACCTCTGATCTGTTTTTTGTTCTTGCACTTTGGCTTTTCCAGAATGTCATATCACCGGAATCCTGCAGTAGGTAAGGGTAGAATCTGACTTTATTCACTTAGCAATAATACATTCGCAAGTCATCTGTATTATAGTATGTGTCATTTGTCAAAGAAAAGCAAGTCTGAGCTTAGATAGGGAGAAACTATTCAGAAGGACTGTTGCAATAGAAGTAACACTGATTTCGAAAATATGTTAATGGTGTGGGAGAGAGCAGGGGAAAAAGTCTAGGGATTTCAACAGGAAATGGTGTTTTGTAGTCAGGGTAAGGCAGAATGTTTTTTCCAAGTCTGTGCTTTGAGGCTTGTTAGGCAAACTTGCAGGCAAATCCATCTGGGGTCTGTCAGGAGGAGAAAAACTTGTCAAAAGTTTGGCGTGCTAACACACAGTAAGAAATGGGCAATTGTGAATGTGTGATTAAGTTTTTTCTTTTATTAGGGCTGAAGAATAGTTTACCTCTTCACCAGCTGAAGCATATTTGAGTCGTTGCTAGTTTTTCTGATCATGAATGAAGCTGATGTAAATACTCCTTGCAGGTTTTTGGGTAAACACAAGTTTTTACTCTCCTTGTTTAAATACCTAGGGATAGGATGGCCAGGGCATGTGGTGCATTTACATTTATCATAACGGACTACTTAACTGTTTCCAGAGTGCCTATAACATTTTGTGTTTCCAGTGATGAGGCATGAAAATTCCAGTTGCATCCTGTCCATTCTGGCACTGCTGTAAAGAAATAACCTGAGACTGAGTAATCTGTAAAGAAAAGAGGTTTCATTGGCTGGGCAGGAAACATGATTCTGGCATCTGCTCAGCTTCTAGAGAGGCCTCAGTAAACTTACAATTCATGGCAGAAGGCAAAGGGGGGAGTCCATACTTCACTTGGCCAGAGTGGGAAGAAGAGAGGGAGCGGGGGAGGGTACCACAGTTTTCAACAACCAAATCGCAAGAGGACTCACTCTTACTGCACCGAGAGGGAAATCCGCCCCCATGACGCCATCACCTCCCACCAGGCCCCACCTCCAACACTGGAGATTACAATTCAACATAAGGTTTGCGAGGGACAGAGATCCAAACCATATCACATCCCTTCCCACCACCAGTTGGTTTGTTTCTTTTTTGTTTTGTTTTGTTTCCCACTCTAATAAGCATGTAGTAGTCACTCATTACGGTTTTAATTTGTATTTCTTAAACGGCTGGTTATTTCAAGCGTGTTTTTATGCACTTAATTGCCAATCATATATCTTTAATCAAGTGCATCTGCGAATAGTTGGCCCCATTTTTAATTTAGTTTTCCTATTGTTGAGTTTTGAGTTCTTACTATATTCTAGATACAAGTCGCTTTTCAGAAAGATGTTTTTCTGCCTTTGCTTGTCTTTTTATTCCCCTTTCAGGCTTTTTTTCATAGAGAGTTTTAATTATGTTTAAATTCAATTTATCAATTTTTAAAATATTGATAATGCTTTTGGTATTGTATCTAAGAAAGTTTTGCCTAATTCAGGTTTGCAAATATTTTATTTTCCTCTTTCCTTTGAATAGTTTTAGGGTTGGAGGTGTCATATATATGAGTCTGAGATTTATTTTGAGTTAATTTTCTTATAAGGTATTAGGTGTGAGTTGAGGTTCACTGTTTTGCACTAGGATACTCGATTGTTCCAGCATTACATGTTCAGAAAATACTACCCCTTACCTACCTGATTACTTTCCACTTCTGTCAAATGTCAAGTGACCATACATGTTTGGATTTGTTTCTGAAATCTTTTTTCTGTTCCATTGATTTATGTGTCTGTTCTTTTGTCAATATCATACTGTCTTTGTTTCTATTACTTTGTAAATTATTAACACAGGTTCTTTGATTTCCAAATTTAGCCATTTTTTTCTTCAAAATTGTTTGGCTATTCTAATTCTTTGCTTTTCCATATAATTTTAAGATTACTTTGCTTGTTGCTACAAAAAAAATTCATACTGCAATGTCTATCAAGATTGTGCTGAATCTCTAAATCTTTTTGGGTATAATTGACATACAGAATATTGGATATTACAGTCTATATCTTATATCTCTCTGTTGATTCAAGTCTGCTTTGATTTCTTTTGTCCCATTGGTTTGTAGCTTTCATCATACTGATCCTAAACATATTTTGATATATTTATCATAGTCTTTTGTGTTATTATATATAGCATTATTTTTATACTTAAATTTCCACTTCATAATTACAAATATATGGAAATATATTTTTATATATTAACATAGCTAATCCTGTAACTTTGCCAAATTCATTTATTCTGGTAGCAGTTTGGTAGATTCCTTAGAATTTTACATGCAGACAACTATGTTGTCTGTGAATAGCAACACTTGTTTCTTTCCAAACTGTATGACATTTCTTTCTTTCTTCTTATCTTTTTGCCCCTAATAGGACATCTAGCAGAATGTTAAATTGGATTGGTGAGAGAGAGCAGACCTCTTTGCCTTACTCCTTGTCACTGGAATTCTTTCTTTTATCAAGTTTGGTGCTAGCTGTAGTTTTTCTGTAGATGCCCTTTAGCAGGTTGAAGAAGGTTTTTCAGTTTCTAATTTGTTGAGACTACTGTCGTGGGTGAATATTAAGTTTTTCACATGCTCTTGCTGCATTTATTCAGATGCTCATATGCTGTCCCTTTCTCATTCTATTAATATGGTGAATTACATTGATTCATTTTCTGCTTTCCTTGTTGCTTCTAAGCAGCTGTTTTACTACGGGACTAAATCTGGATTGTGTATGTTTCTTTTTCATCCCAATTTCTACTCTTTTTTCCAATAACTGGAAGATTCCCTGAGGATGGGGAGAATTTGATTTTTGTCTCTAGCCCTCTTTGGGCCATTATTCTCATTTTTGAACCAAGACCTTTTGTGAAAGGAGTTGGCCATAGGAGAGTTGAAGTACAGCTAAGCTTGTGTTGATCGTATGACACATTTTCTCCCTACGATCTTCCCGAGATTGAGATTCTGATGTTTGTATTTTACAGGTAAAACTCTGCAAAGAAAATGCCTGGCACTTCTATCTCCGGTAACTCCTCTCAAGGTTTATTGCTGCTTGTTCATCGCCGCAGTTCTGACCACAAGTGTGGTTGCGCTTCCCATTGTTTTGTCAGGTAAGTTACTTGTTCTTCAAACTGTATGATGTTATTTACATGTTTATGTTGTCAATACGTATTTATTAAGCTCCATTATTTGCCTGTCACTGTGAAATGCTTGAATTACATCAGCAAACAAAACACACACAAAGGAATCCCTGCTCCTCAGGGACTTATATTCCAGCAGAAAAACACAAGTAATAATAAATAAGGGTGGAGGCGTAACAGGTTGTAATAGGTTGACAAAGCTAAGCCTCCTTGGAAGATGATATTTCAGCAACCTTTTGAAAGAGATACAAGAACCATGTGGCTACCTGGGGAAGCTATTCCAGACAGAACATGTGGACCAAAAGCCTACAGGAGGACTCTTCCTGGCTTGTTTGAGGAACAGCAGGGGGACTTCTGTAGATAAAGCAGAGTGAGGATGGAGAAGAAGAGCGATACCATGGGGCATTAGGAATGGAGGAACCTTGAGGATCAGTTAAAGACTTTGGCTTTCACCTTCAGTGCAATAGGGAGCCTTGGATGAGGGAAACTGTATGAGAGGAATGTCGTGATGTGACTTCCATTGTAGAATAATCACTTGATTGCTGTATTGGGACTAGGCAGGGGAGGGTGGTCAGATTCTGGATATTTTGAAAGCTGGGCCAACAGTGTTTTATATCAAATTGGATAAAAAGTCTTAGAAAAAGAAAAGCAAAAGATAAGTCTGTCTTCCTTTTGAGCCTTGGCAAGAGCGCACACGCCATTCATTGATATGAGAAAGCCATGGGGATAGGAACTTCACTTACGGAGCTATTTCCTGACAAGTTCCTATCAGAATTGCCATGTTTATTAAAAATAAAGTAATAAATCTACTTGAAATGTTTTCAGACAAATCATCTGGCCTTAAGAACTGGTGTCTTCAACTTACGCAGATTGAGAATGCACGAAAGCACAGAGAACTATATACATAAAAAAAAAAGAAAAAGAACCTCATCTCTTGTACATAGAGGCAGTAGGTCCTCAAGAGGCTTTGTCAAGAGGAAGGAAGGCTAATATGAGGAAGATATGGAAAAATCATCTACATGGCCTTGTGAAAGTACAGTACTATGGAAGTCGATGCTATAGAAATTGATTTCCTTGAAACTGTAATGTCAGTGTAAACTTCAGAAAGTCAGGGGTGCAGGTACCCAGCTGAAAACCACTGGGCTGATGACTGTTGTGCTTAGGGTAAGGCACTATGTGATGAGTTAGGAAAACAACAATCAGATACGTACACTTCAAAATTGACCTCAGGAAGGTAAGCAGAAAAATAGATGAAAGGGATGAGAAAACGTATTTATCATGTTTCATTGTGATTGTCTCAGTTTTAGCCAGGAAAGAAAAGCCTGTGATAGAGTCACCTAAGTACGCCGCTTGCCCAAAAAGCTGGATTGGATTTGGGAGTAAATGCTTTTATTTTTCTGAAGACACAAGAAATTGGACATTCAGTCAAGTCTTCTGTGTCTCATTAGAAGCCAGCCTCGCTCAGTTTGCAACTGTGGAAGAACTGGTAAGAGATATTTTTGAATCATGTTTTCTGTCAAATAACTTAGGCCCCTGGGGCAGGTCAGCTACATAGGGTTAAAGCTGCAATACGAGGAAGGATCCCATTCCAGGGGCATGAGATGTGTTTTCATGTCCAACATTTGTGGAGGATGTGTTCTCTGCCTGGAACCCTGTGAGATACTTTAGATATATTTTCTCATGTAATTCTCATGGTGAACCTGCAAAATGAGTTGTATTCTCATTCTATTAAGAATTAAGATAATTGTATAATTTGTCATCTAGATTAAGACATACAGGGTATTGAAACTGAGCATTAATATATTGGTGGAATGACAAGCTTAAACTGGGAATTTCCCAATCGAACTGGGATGTATGCTCACTTTAAATAAAGTGATTTAGGATCAGGGACATTAAATGACTTAAACTGAGAATTGGGAATTAGTCTCACTCCAGAGGGTAAGCTGCTTAATTACACCACGCTGCCAGTCAAAAAGAGAAGGGATAGGGAAGAGAGACTCCAGAGTGATATGGAAGAAAGGGACACATGGTATTACTTTCTGTTTTATTATAGAATTTCCTGAAAAGATACAAAGGCCCTTCTGACCATTGGATTGGCCTTAGAAGAGAATCATCCGACGACATTTGGAGGTGGACAGACAACACAGAACATAATAACACGTATGTTTTGAGACTTACGTTTCTGCTCTGTTTATGTGTGGTTATGTGTGTGAGTTGTGTTTATGAGATGAGAAATGTATCATGGAAAGCTTATTACAATATGAGGTAAGAAATCTAAACCCTTTTTATACTCTTCTATTTATTAACTGTGTCTTTGGGAAAGCTTTACTTAACTGTGATTTCAGTAACATGACAATGACATTTGACACAATTTTACACTTTAATTCACTGGTTTAAAACTGCTGAAATCCCTACTTATAACTGATTTACAGTAAGTGTTCTACAATCGTAGGACACCGCCCAGGAGCTGATATCCACAAGGCTGCTAAGCCCACTCTGCCAGCTGTTGCATCCATTCACAATAGGAAAGCATCCAGGGAACTCAAGGGTCTCTCTCACTCCTAAAGTTTTGTCACCAGAAGGAAACTAGTAACAGTTATTTGGACTGTGAACATTTCACTGGGGGTATTTTGAATATAATCATCACATTGCAGCAGATAAAATATAGGAACCCAGTCATAACCATTAATCAAAGCTAAGCCTTTTTAGGAATCTACTGTTTTTTTTTGTTTTGTTTTTACTTTCACACATTTATGAAACAGTTCAGGAGACTGGAAATCATCTTCACTGAAGACCACCAATGGCAGCAGTTCATTTGGGTGCAGCAGCAAGCATCAGTTAACTACCTATCAACATAGCTGGGCTTGGTATGGATGAATGATAAGCTTGTGGTTTTCAAGCAAGGGCCTTGAGAACATAAAAGACACTAAATACGGTAATGGTTTATATTACTATGAAGTAATATTAATGACAGACTTTTGCTTTCCTCTTATTCACAGTAAAATACAGAGGGGGTGCAGAAGATGAGAGGGGAGGAACAAACGCAGGTGTCTGACTTCCAAATATTTAATATTTTTGTGTCTGGTTTTAGGTTTCCTATCAGAGGAGTTGGAGAATGTGCCTACCTGAATGACAATGGAGTCAGTAGTGCCAGCATCTACACAGATAGAAAATGGATTTGTAGCAAGCCAAACAGTTATGTCTACAGTTGCCAAATTAGAAACTCTTTACAGAATTTCCCTATGGATGCATCATAACTTGTTGTATGTAGCTGCCGTGTATAACAGCTGGAGACACCTGGATATGCAGGCAGGAGACTGCTGTAGGGGGGGGTCCCTCCTCAAGAACCTCTATGAGGGCAGTGCAGAGACCCCACCGGGGCGCTACCTGGTGGAGCGGTGAAAAGAGAGCCACCATCCTGTGGCACAGTTTAGTACTTTGTTGATATAAAGAAACTTATTTTTGTCATTTTGGTGCATAAGTACATCAAAGTATGACTACAGCTATCCTAAAAGCATGTACTGTTAGGTGACATTGGGACATCTGGACACTCTGCTGTTGTAGGCGTTTGTCCTTGCAGGCATTACTACACTTCCTTAGCTGTAAACAGCTTATGACCATGGGTCATTTTCTTTGTCCAATCCACTGTTGATAGGCATCTGCATTGATTCCATGTCTTGGCTATTGTGAATAGTACAGCAATAGACTTACATGGTTCAGCTTTTACGGTAACAAAGTTGTGAATTGGGCGGACCCTTAGGTCATATAACCTGAGCATGGCCAGGTGAACCAAGTGTGCAACCACAGGGGAAACGCAGTTGTTCAGTCTGAGGTACAGAGGCTGAATTAAGAAGTGGGCCCATGGTGGCAGGATCCAGGATCCAGCTGGATGGAACTTGGGTCTCACTCCATGGCAGGATCCAGTCAGAGCGTGCTTCCCAGCATCACCTCATTACGAGATCCAGTCAGATGGTATCTCGTTACCCTATGCTTATAAAACCTGACCCAACTCCCAGCTTGAGGAAGGACTGCTTTGGGAGCTTTGCCCAGTATTATTTTTACTTTCTGCAAGTGATGAACTCTTGCTAAATCCTCCCTGACTGTGGTCATGGGGTTGACACTTGACAGCTGACTAACCCACCTGTTGTGTGGGTAACATTTGGAACATATTTATTTTCTTTGACTCTCGGCATTGGTGTCTGTGCCCCAGATAACACAGCTTCCTTTCCAGTCTTCACAGACAGGTCTCATACAGGAGAACACCTTTACCAACCAGTCCAGACAGAGGTTGTGTGTGCCACTTACACTTCCATGGTAGTTGAAGTCAAAATGTTTGTTCTTAACGGTCGTCAGGCATCTAGAGTATGCCAGATCCTTTCAGTGCGGGGAGGGGAGGATGGGGAGGGATAACACCTGGAGAAACGCCTGATGCAGGAGATGAGGCGGGGGGAGCAGGAGGATGGAGACAGCAAACCATCATGGCATGTGTGTACTTACACAACAATCGTGCAGGATGCAGGATGTGCATATGTATCCTAGAGCCCAAAGTACAATAATAAAAAAAGATAGATGGAAGAAAAAAACCAAGAAATATCTTACCGTCTAGAGATGAGAGGTGTTCAAAATGGCTAGTTAGGATGTCACTGATAGGACTGTATTTCTTTTGGAGGCTCTAGGGAAGAAGCTGTTTCCTTGCTTTCTTTCAGCTTCTAGAGGCCACCTCCATTCCTTAGCTTATGGTCCCTTGCTATGTCTTTAAAGCCAGCAGCATGGCATCTTCAAATCTCTGACAGTGACATTCCCGTCTTCCCTGAATAAAGACCCATGTGATTAGATTAGGCCCACATGGATTATCCAAGACAATCCCTCTGTCTTCAGACCCCTAACCATATCTGTAAAGTGCCTTTTGCCATGTAAAATCACATCTTTACCTGAAGGTTTTGGGAATTGGCCTATTAATGCCTTTAGGAGGTCATTCTTCTGCTTTCCACAGACATTTAAACAACTATCAGACAAAAGTCATATTTGAATTGGGCTTGTGTTGCCCCAAAGCTTGTGTTCTTTTACACCATAATACATTGCCTTTTATATCCCTCACTTATTCAATATCATTACCATCCATCATGCTGTCACAAACAGCACCCTTGGCTCACTGCAACCTCCACCTCCCGGGTTCAAGCAATTCTCCCTGCCTCAGCCTCCTAAGTAGCTGGGATTACAGGCACCCACCACCATACCTGACTAATTTTTGTATTTTTAAATAGAGATGGGGTTTTGCCATGTTGGCCAGGGTGGTCTTGAACTCCTGACCTCAGGTGATCCACCCACCTTGGCCTCCCAAAGTGTTGGGATTACAGGCATAAGCCACCACACCTGGCCGATATCTTGTTTCTTACCTTCAAATGTCTTCAGGTTGAGCTATCTTGTCTCCTGTACTCGAGGAGTAAGTACCTAAGGCACTTCACCCAAGAACTCGATTCACATCTGATTAAGATGATGAAATCTTAGACTTATCCTTAATAAGACGAGACTTTTGAGGAGGCGGCTAAGTGCATTTTGTATATCGGAGAGAGATGAAATTTGTGGCCAAATGGCAGCTCCTGACAATTTGTGTTTCCAAAGGTGGCCACAATCATATCTCCAACTACATGCTCTTTTGTAATGTGATCTTGCTACTCCTCCCTCAAGAGGGGAAGTCTGTCTCACTTTTCTTGAATCCTAGCTGACCTTATGATGCACTTGACCAGTCAAATGTCATGGAAGTAATACATGACTTCTGTGGCCAGTTCAAAGAAACCTTGCAGCTTCTTCCTACAGTTTTTGAAGCTCTTGTTCGTGGGAACTCTGAAATGCCATGTAAAGAGAGAGAGAGAGAGAGAGAGAGAGAGAGAGAGAGAGAGAGAGAGAACAAGCAGTCTGAGAATCCAGTGGGGTCTCCACATGACTCCAACCCCAGCTGCCATCTGGCTGCAATTTTATGAGAGCATCTTGGCAAGACTCTGAGAAATACCATCCAGCTAAGCCGTGTCAACCCACGAAACTGTGAAACACATAAAACTGTTGTTTTAAGCAATTAGATTTTGGGGTGGTTTGTTATATATACAGTGATAGATAAATGAAACTAATTTATTGTAATATGTGTCTCAATTTTAAGGATATTAAAATGTAAACATAGTACAATTTAGAATTGATGAAATCTAAAAAAAAGAAACACAAATTATATGAATAGGTAATCTGTAGAAAAATAAACCCCAATGGCTAGTGTGAAGAGATGCTTTACTCCTCTAGTAATCAGAGAAGGGAAAGTTTAAACAAGCAAGAAATAAGAATTTCTACTCAAAAAAAGTACAAACGGGCTTAGCATAGTGGCTCATACCTGTAATCCCAGCACTTTGGGAGGCTGAGGCGGGTGGATCACTTGAGGTCAGGAGTGACCATCCTGACCAACATGTGAAACACTGTCTCTACTAAAAATGCAAAAATAATAGCCAGATGTGGTGGTGGGCACCTATAGTCGCAGCTGCTTGGGAGGCTGAGGTAAATGCCCATCCGTGGAAGACTGGATAAAGAAAATGTGGTACATATACACCATGGAACTATGCAGCCATAAAAAAGTACACTATCGTGTCCTCTGCAGGAACATAGATGGAGCTAGAAGCTATTACTCTTAGCAAAATAATGCAGGAACAGAAAACCAAATGCCGCACGTTCTCAGTCATAAGTGGGAGCTAAATGATGAGAACATAAGGCTACAAAGAGGAGAACACCACCCAGTGGGGCCTATCTGAGGGCGGGAGGAGGGAGAGCAGAAGACACAGGCCTACTGGAGGGTGGAGGGGGGTGGAGGAAGAAGATCAGACAAAATAACTGTTGAGTACTAGGCTTAGAACCTGGGTAATGAAATAATCTGAACAACAATCCCTGTGACATGAGTTTACCTATATAACAAACCTGCACATGTATCCTTCAAACCTAAAATAAAAGATTAAAAAACAAAATAAAAATAAACTAAAATTTGAGAAGCCTTCATTATTTAAAATCTGAATTCTGAAAATTAAACAGACAAATAGTTTGGGAATAATGATTTGGATGGTGTGAAGAACAGTGTAAAAAGAAAACAGTATGAGGAAGCTCAACTTGGACAATTTGAAAAGTTTTAAAAATTTGAATTTAGGCAAATTGTGAACAAAATTCTTTCTTGTATCTTAGAGGTGTAAGGGCTTTCAATAATTTTGTGGAAAAGTAAATCAGTAATTAGGAGTATTAAAATATGTGGTTAACATTGTTTTTTGATGAAACAGTTGATGTAATAGCTATATAGAGAAATTTTTTCTAATTGACTCAGTTACTTTCAATAAAATGTGGCATCTTCACAAAGTAAATAATTAAATATTCCTCATTTTACTATATAGAGATTTTTACACAGGCTCTTCCTTTTATGAAGAAAATTCAAGTTGAAATATTAGAAAAGAAAAAATAAATATTTTAAAACCTTCCGTTATTGCTGTGAACGTCATACATATAGCAGTATTAGAAGAAAATTATTCAACAAGAATTGAGGGGGAGCAATCCACACATTGGGGTCCAGTCTCCATATCGAAATGTCTCTAGACTAGTAGTGGGAAAAACCAATATTCAAAACTGGCAGTAATCTTTCATGCTTAATTAAAATAATTATTAATTATTAGAGTACTGATTAATAACGTATATTATTTCAACCTTCTCAAAATGGTTTCAATTTTCAAAATCGAAAGATGAAAAATCAAAAATGGACATTTTATTTTTCCAGCTTAGCAGGAGAGAAAACACAAAAAGAGAAAATATTAGGCCTGAAGCAAATCCTAGTGGTTATTAAGTTTGGCTCAGGGGTGTGGTGAAAATTGGTAAAATGTTCGCCTTAGTTTAGCTTAATTACAAAAATGTTCATGGGTTCTCTTTTCAGTGGTTTAACCTCTACATTATTTGACTTAGAATTGAAAATAACCTTGGTTCCTTAGTCCCCATTTTATTCTTGAAGGGAATCCAACTTCATGCATAAAGCACTCATGGCCCAGCACAGAAAAAAAAAAAAAAAAAAAAAATTAGCACCTTTCTTACTTCCCATTTCCCATAATCACTCTGTTCTTCTGGGCAATATTAACATAATCAATGTACATTTTATTAGGGGTGGAGATGAATAGAAGTAAGCTTAGATTTTTTAAAGATTTTTATTTTACTGTTAGAAGAAACAAACTCAAGTGAAAAAATAGTGTCCTTTAGCAGAGTGACTGATACAGAGTAGAAAACAAAATGTATCTGTGGAGTGTTGAATTTTAAAATGCCAAAGAGTCACAAGAAGAGTGTTTTCCTGTGTCGTCCTTACTGTGAAGAGGTGATAGAAATGATTTCCCCATTGGTGAACTGTCACCGAGGGAAGGGTAAGGATGTGTTAGGGAAGCAAGGAGAGATGAACCTGAGGATACTCACAGCCTCCTGACTCCACAGGCAGAGTGGGTTCCAGATCTGACTATGCCTCCTTTAGCCATGACCTGAAATGAAAAACAGTAAAGAACTTTTCTTGAGCTGGACACGGATCTCAGCATCCTATCCCCACATGACTCACTTTCTTTTCTTTTTTTTTTTTTTTAATGTCAAAGTAGATTTTTATTACAGAATAATTTTTTCTATTAATTAAATGCTTTAAATAAAGCAACATAATACCATAAGCTGATAATGACCTGGCAGCATGTAAATACATAAGGCCGGAGAGGCATGTTTATTCTTGATAAATATAATAAAGGGCAATTTAAACTTTGGCATTGGTTTACATGAGTCAATTCAAGGTCAGTGGCTGGAGAACTGTATTAAGAGAAACCAGAGGTCAAAATACTCTTCAGGAAGGAGCCCTCTAACAATGTACATTTGAAGATCAGGGGGCTAAAAATCCACTCTGAATGAACACCATTAAGCCAAGGATGTACAACATCCATCAACATCTGTTTCAAAAACAGCATGTTTCTAAGATGATACACCTCTTTACAAAGTAAACATTACAGTGTTAATAACTACAGAGACACCATTGGGATGAGCTCCAGATCCGCCGCTGACTTCCATGGAGCCCCCGTGGGCCATAGCTTAAGGCATCCATCTTAGTCCTGGGGCTTTAAGAACATGTTCTTTGCTTTAATCGGTTGTTATGTCTCCATTTTCACCTTCTTCATAATTGGCATGGTCTGTCTTTCTGGCAAACTTTTTCCCAACTGTCCCCACCAAGGTCTCATATCTTCTAGCCATCGCTTCATCTGACACACTGCTGCATCTTCCACTTCTGCATTGAGCTTAGCATTCATACGAAGCATCAATTCCTCAACCTCAGGGTGAAATCCTCGGAGTGACGTTCTTCCATGGAGAAAACCTTCTCGTAATAAGAAACTCTGCTCTTCTGTTAGGAAACTCAATCTTTCTCTTTAAGCTCTGGCAGACCCACGTACCGGCGCTCTTCACCAACGATTTTCTTTTCTTCCCCTGCCAGTCGTCTCCTGGTTTCTGAGTCCAGTCCCCTTTGCATAAACCTCCTGCGTAGCCGATTCTTGGACACCTTTGTCTTGCGCTCGGCTGCCACGTGGCTCCGCCCAGCGCCGCACTCGCCGCGAGCCCCACCGCACGCGCCCACTGCCCGGGCCTGTTGGGAGGATGGGCCGGGCGGGTGGTTGGGGGAGAACCGGGCCCAGCCCCACGTGGCTCACAGGCAGTGCTCTGTAAAGAGTTGTTATAATTTAGCTGCACGTGAGCATTTTAGTCTTTGGCATTTTACTGTTTGGGAGGTAGATTCATACAAAGTATATTCCGTTAAAAAAAAAAAAAAAAGGCTTTCAGCTGTCAAGTCTCTGCTGGAGAGAATCAACCTCATGGAAACTCACGAAATGGAGGGCGCGCAGAGAACGCAGCATGGCTGTGTGCACGTACTTTCTTCGGACATTCCTGAGCCTACTGATGACTTTTGCCCACTGACGAGCTGCAGTTGTATTCCAAGGCTTCATTCTTACCAGGTAATGGAAACTGATCTCCGACAGCTCTCCCACGGCCTGTCCCTTCAGCACATAGTGTGCCCTGATGGTCTGTGTGTGGCCGCAGGGCAGAGTGCCAGCCACAGGCTCCAGGTCCACGTAACTCCCACTGAGGGAGAAAACGTGACTTACAGCGTGCTGCGCAGGCTCGTGGACTTCTGCTACCCACGAATAGGGCAAACAGAAGCTGGAAACCTGAGCAGACACGAAAACAAAGTGGGAAGATTGCCTTGGGATTCTTCGCCTTAGCTTCTCACCGAAATGAATAGTCAAAACTGTGTCTTCCACCCTAAAATACACTACGGCTCTCCCTCATACGGGTTGACAGTGAAATAAATGAATTTTCAGCCTCCCAACATTCAAATAAAAGGAAATCATCCACAAATTTCTCTCTTTTGCCCTGATTCTGCTAACTCATTACTACTTTGACATTTTCCTTCTGCCCCTCAGAACTGGAAGAAAAATGACGTCCCAGTGAGAATGATAAATAACTCCAACAAGTGGAAATGGGATTTTTCAGGTATTAGAATTACCTCATAAACTGGCTTAACTAAAATTGGGTTTTATATTAATATAACATTCTATTACCTTAAGGGCTTCAAAATTGTTTATAGTACTCCTTAGTAAATTAGCATTTATGCCTCTTATCATTACTGTGACTTCCAACCTTTAAGACCTACGTGGTTTCTGAAACTTTGAGCCTCGCATATACTGTTTACCACATGATTCTACCCATTTCCCTTGCGGTAACTGCTCCTTCGCTTTTCTCCAGAGTGCACTCATTTTTTCCTAAATTTATGAGGCATATGTTATGGGCTCCTCTATTCGCTCTCATAATAAAGTTCTTATTAAAAAAAAAAACCTTTTGCATGTAAGCACATCATACTAATAATTCACAGATCTGTTAACTCTATGAAAATAGGAACATTTAAAGTGTAGGGACACTATTTATTCACCTTTTAAATCCTAGGGAACGCAAGCATCTATCACATAGAAAACATTAAACGTCATCGCATATTTTTATTTATTTATTTATTTTTATTGCACTTTAGGTTTTGGGGTACATGTGAAGAACATGCAAGATTGTTGCATAGCTACACACATGGCAGTGTGGTTTTCTGCCTTCCATCCCCTCGCCTGTATCTGTCATTTCTCCCCATGCTATCTCTTCCCACCTCCCCACCCCCCCGTCCCTCCCCTTTTTCCCCCCAACGGACCCCAGTGTGTAGTGCTCCCCTCCCTGTGTCCATGTGTTCTCATTGTTCAACACCCGCCTATGAGTGAGAACATATGGTGTTTGATTTTCTGCTCTGTGTCAGTTTGCTGAGAATGATGGTTTCCAGGTTCATCCATGTCCCTACAAAGGACGTGAACTCATCGTTTTTGATGGCTGCGTAATATTCCATGGTGTATATGTACCACATTTTCCCTATCCAGTCTATCATCGTTGGGCATTTGGGTTGGTTCCAGGTCTTTGCTATTGTAAACAGTGCTGCAATGAACATTCGTGTGCATGTGTCCTTGTAGTAGAATGATTTATAATCCTTTGGATATATACCGAGTAAAACATCATTACATATTTTTAAACTGAATTAACAAGTAAACACTAAGAAACAGAAATAATTTATGTTATTTATCTACATGAAATCCATAAATTGTGGTCTTTTATCATTTCTTTGTCTGAGATAACCAGCATGAAAACTTTTTAGCTATAGAAATGTTTCGATCATCATCATTAGACGATGTGTATTGTATGTGTGTGTGTGTGTGTGTGTGTGTGTGATCACTTTACAAAATTTCTAAGTACACGTGGAAAAAATAACATAAAACAAATTACATGAATTACTGAAGCAGCTGATATTGTTCAAGACCCAAATCAAGTAAGATTTTTTTCATAATATATGAAATGTTACAGATAATGATAGTGAAATGATCAGGCAATTCTGTAGTGCCTTTTCTTTTTGAGATAGAGTCTTGCTCTGTTGCCAGGCACCAGGCTGGAGTGCAGTGGCGTGATCTCGGCTCACTGCAACCTCCACCTCCCGGGTTCAAGCAATTCTCCTGCCTCAGCCTCCCAAGTAGCTGGGACTATGGGCATGCGCCACCATGCCTGGCTAATTTTTGTATTCTTTTAGTAGAGACGGGGTTTCACCATGTTGGCCAGGATGGTCTTGATCTCTCGACCTTGTGATCCGCCTGCCTCAGCCTCCCCTGTAGTGTCTTTTCTAATGCCTTTATTATTTTTCATGAAATTCTATTATCGGCAAATTTATAACCTCAAAGCTAGATATGTTCTTATTTCTTACTCTTAACTGCAATCTGTGTCTTTCTTCACTTCTGAATATGTCACTGTTCATAATATTTCCTTTTGACCTCAGAGGTTTGTCTTTCCATACTTACTGTGACAAAAAGAGTACTAGCCAAGATATTAGTAGTCTCGATTGAAAACCGTACAAGACCCTGTTCATTGGTGGTTGTGTTAAAGTGATAGTTGGCTTTATTCGCAGAGATGAAGATGAGTTTATTGGGGATGGGCGCACCTTTCCCATCCACCAGAAGCACCTAAAGAAGAAAAGTACTTGATAGTTGATGTGGATAACACCCAGAGAGGACTGAAGTCATATGGACAAATGCTTTTGCTGCTGTAACTAAAACAACAACCTCCTCCCCACCCAGAAACCCCCAGCAAACCTGCATATTTACTACAGAATGTTTCCGCCTATTTGGATCCTCATTCCTACATAGCTTATCTATGACACTTTGGAGCATTTCCGTTAGAGTCAGGGAGGCTTTTAATAACTACAACATGCCGCTTAATATGCACCTGGCATTAGAAAAACAACATGAATTTAAACCGGCTGCTTTCCCTTTTCACATAGATGGAGGCTGGAATGCTTGGCTGCGTACTGAACTCTACTCTGGCAGCTAAAAAAGTCACGTAACTTCTCTGTGCTTCAGTTTTCCACCTTCACTAAAAGGGGGATAATAGTATTGCCTCTTTCATATGGCAGTAGTGAAGATTAAATAATTATTTTAAAATACATTAGAGGAGGAGTAGGGTGACTATAGTTTTCAATCATCTGTTGTGATTTAAAAATAGCCAGAAGAGAATCATTTGAATTTTTAACAGAAAAAGGACAAATATTTAAGGAGATGAATATCTCAATTATACTGATTGGTTCTTGACAAATTATTTGAATGTATTAAATAATCACATGTACTCCCCCAAACTGATAACTGTGATGTATCAATTTAAAAAAATTTTAAAATAATAAAAATACATTAGAAGATATTTGGTATATGATAATTATTCCATAAACATTAGTTAATAACATTATTATTATCTCCTACAACAAATCACCTAAAAAACCCACATGAGAAAGCTTTTTGCCCTGCCCTGCCCTGCCCTTCTCTCCCCTCCCCTCCCCTCCCCTCCCCTTCCCTTCCCTGTCCTGTCCTGCCCTCCCCTCCCCTCCCTTCCCCTCCCCTCCCCTTCTCTTCCCTTCCCTTCTTCCCTGTTTTCCTTCTCTGCCTTTTCCCGTTCCCTTTCCTTTTCTTCTTTTCTTTTCTTCCGTAACAGGACTTTCTCTGTTGCCCAGGCTGGAGTGCAGTGGTACCATCATAGCTCACAGCAGCATCAAAGTTCTGAGCTCAAGGGATCCTCCAGCCTCAGCTTCCCAAATAGCTGGTACTACAATGCATGCCAGCAGCCTGCTGCTATTTTTTTTTTTTTTTTTGTAGAGGCAAAGTCTCACTATGTTGCCAGGGCTGAGCTAGAACTCTGGCCTCAGGTGATCCTCCCCACCCCACCCTCAACCCTGGCCTCCCAAAGTGCTGGGATTATAAGCATGAGCCACTACGTCTGGTCGAATGTCTTATTTACTAATTATAAAACTGGTCAAATTATGTATATGAATAAAATTAATATTTTATTTGTTTTGTTATTGTTAAAATATATACATTAAACATATAAACAATACAATAATAATAACCATGAAAGGCACACTATTTTAATACCTATGCCTAAAATTAAAGACTTATTTACTTATATCTAAAGAGAGTAACAGATGGAAAAAGGACACAGCCAGCCATAAATGTTATAAACTCTGAAACCTCTGATGCTGGCTGAGTCATGACAGAAATATCATTTATTCTAAACTAGATGAAAGAAGAAATTTGATATAATAACTAAGTCACATTACATTAAGTATCTTTATTAGCTACATATTAAAACAGATCTCCGATTCTCATAGTAGTTTAGTGTGTGTCTGTACATTTCATCAGTGATATTTAGAAAGGAAAGTATTTCTCCTTGGTTTCATGGTTTTGGTCATATGAATTAACTGGTAATACCAACCAAATGTGGGCTACAACACTGTGCCCTGGGCTTAGGTGCATCTGGACAGTTTGCTTACCTGTGAATTAAAATCTATCCCACCTGTCCAGAAAAGGGGACTCCTCGTCTAAAGTGTGAATCCACTTTCACGAATGTGAGTTTGGATGCAACGTTTGTGATTTCACTTATCCCATTTGCAGCGACTACCACATCTAAAAAATATAAAGAGTCAGTACTTTTAGAAGTTACTTTAGTTCTAAAATTTCTTTCCTACAAATGACCCTTATTTTGTTACGGGAAGTCAATGAATGTTTATTGTTTTCTTTCCCACGTTCATTCCGTACTCAAACCTGTTCCCTCTTCTCTGATCCTGGCTTCCACTCTGAGCTTCATTTCAAAGCCCGTATTTTTTTTTTTTATTGCATTTTAGGTTTTGGGGTACATGTGAAGAACATGCAAGATTGTTGCATAGGTACACACATGGCAGTGTGGTTTGCTGCCTTCCTTCCCCTCACCTGTATCTGTCATTTCTCCCCATGCTATCTCTTCCCACCTCCCCACCCCCCTGTCCCTCCCCCATTTCCCCCCAATGGACCCCAGTGTGTAGTGCTCCCCTCCCTGTGTCCTTGTGTTCTCATTGTTCAACACCCGCCTATGAGTGAGAATATACGGTGTTTGATTTTCTGCTCTTGCGTCAGTTTGCTGAGAATGATGGTTTCCAGGTTCATCCATGTCCCTACAAAGGACGTGAACTCATCGTTTTTGATGGCTGCGTAATATTCCATGGTGTATATGTACCACATTTTCCCTATCCAGTCTATCATCATTGGGCATTTGGGTTGGTTCCAGGTCTTTGCTATTGTAAACAGTGCTGCAATGAACATTCGTGTGCATGTGTCCTTGTAGTAGAATGATTTATAATCCTTTGGATTATAAATCCCAGTAATGGGATTGCTGGGTCAAATGGGATTTCTATTTTTAGGTCCTTGAGGAATCGACACACTGTCTTCCACAATGGTTGAATTAATTTTTTTTTTTTTTTTTTTTTTTTTTTTTTTTTTTTGAGACAGAGTTTCGCTCTTGTTACCCAGGCTGGAGTGCAATGGCGCGATCTCGGCTCACCGCAACCTCCGCCTCCTGGGTTCAGGCAATTCTCCTGCCTCAGCCTCCTGAGTAGCTGGGATTACAGGCACACGCCACCATGCCCAGCTAATTTTTTGTATTTTTAGTAGAGATGGGGTTTCACCATGTTGACCAGGATGGTCTTGATCTCTCGACCTCGTGATTCACCCGCCTCGGCCTCCCAAAGTGCTGGGATTACAGGCTTGAGCCACCGCGCCCGGCCCAAAGCCCATATTTTTAATCTGGAGCATGCTTGCTTGTACTTGTTGGGTGATGCAGCCATTGCTGTTGAGCTGAGAAAAATACCAAAACCAATAAATATCATACCGATTAAGACCAATAGTCACTAAATCTACTATTCTCTCTATAATGACAAGAAAACTTTTGTGTGTGTGGTAAGCATGTTAATTGACCTTCAATAACTCAATACTCAGATCTGCTTTGTAACCTCCACAGTTAGTCGTCCAAAGGAGAATCTTGTTGACTCAGAACAGAAATTCCTTTTTTGGTTGTGGATATTTTGGGATGAGCTTGTCCTGATACCCTCTTTCTAGGTCATAAAATGGAGTCATGGAGTCTCTCACTGTTTGTAGAAAGTGACAGCATTGAGAGAGAATACCACGTACTAACCTGCTGACTGAATTCCTCACAGATCTCCTTGACAGCACAGTAAGAAACAGGAAAATGTTTTCTACACAGGCTCACAGTTGCAAGTCCTGGGACAGGCTTCCCATAGGTGTATCTGGCATATGAGAAATAAATCAGGAATTGAGAACAGCCATTTGCATTTTCCACTACCAGTCAGTTCCCTACACATCTATCATCTGGGCACCCATCAAGTAGAAACCTGTCTGGAAAATGTCTCTCTCAAGAAATGTTATCCATTAAAACCTTTGAAACTTGACTGCACTGTACCACCACATTTTCTTTGGAATTAATTTTTTTTCCCGTTTGTCTAGGTGCAGTGACTCATGCCTACAACCCAATGCTTTGAGAAGCCAAGAAGAAGGATCACTTGAGGCCAAAAGTTCCTGACTAGCATGGGTAACACAGCAGGACCCAGTCTCTACAACACTTTTTAAAAAATTAGCCGGTATGGTGACATGCACCTGCAGTCCTAGCTCCTTAGGAGGTTTAGGCAGGAAATTCACATGAGCCCAGGAGTGTGAGGCTACAGTGAGCCAAGATGACTCCACTGCGCTCCAGCGTGACACAAATTCTAACTCTGACTTAATGTCTAACTTTGGACTCAACTACAAAGTTAAAGATTAGCTTCACCGGGCATGGTGGCTCAAGCCTGTAATCCCAGCACTTTGGGAGGCCGAGGCGGGTGGATCACAAGGTCAAGAGATCGAGACCATCCTGGTCAACATGGTGAAACCCCGTCTCTACTACTCTGTCACTCAAAAAAATGTTTTCTTCCTAAGAACACACATATCAAAAAATAAGCAGCAGGGTGTTATTACCAATTCAAAGAGCATATTAAAAAAAACCTCATTCTAAATGGAATATGAATTTTATCCTCCAGACATGCCTCAACAACTGTCAGAATTTAACCTTGAGAAAAATGAGGCAACCGCGGAGAGTCATGACCCTTTTAGGGAATCCGTGCTCAATTCTGAACTCTATTCAGGGGCCTTCGGGTGGGGCTTGTTTGCACATAGAGGCCACATAAAAGCCTGGTCAACTTGGCTGGTCTCAGGGATGAGGCTGAGGGCAGAGAGTTGGGCACAGCCGTGAGATTTATCCCTCACAATGGGGAAAGACAGACTTCTTCATTTATGTCACACGCTGCTGCTTCTCCTGCTTTCTGCCAATGACCTCAGACTCTGCAGAACCGTAAGTCTCACTCGCTCTTTCTTCCAGAGTGCATTTCAGTCTCTTCCTATGTCTTTGCTTTGCCTTCCTTTGTAAATGCAACCTTTCCACTCATTAGGATACTTTCCAAACACAGGAAATTATTACACTTAATGCCTTGTTTATCTTTCATTTGTCCCCTACTCTTGAAATGTGTTCTTTTTATATTTGCCTAAGAATCATGGTTTTATCTTTTTAAAATTATGTTTTTATCTAAAATTTGTCAAAACAGAAAGTTACCGTGATTGGCCAGGTGCAGCGGCTGTAATCCCAGCACTTTGGGAGACCAAGATCGGTGGATCGCTTGAAGTCAAGAGTTCAAGACCAGCCTGGCCAACATGGTGAAATCCCATCTCTACTAAAACTATGGAGCTAGCCAAGGGCAGTAGTGCACGCCTGTATTCCCAGTTATTCGGGGCACTGAGGCAGGAGAATCACTTGAAGCTGGAAGGTGGAAGTTGCAGTCAGCCGAGATTGCGACCATTGCACTCCAGCCTGGGCAACAAGAGTGAATGTCCGTCTCAAAAAAAAAAAAAAAAAAAAAAGGAAAAAAGAAAGTTACCACAGTTCATAATACTTATCTATGAGCCCAGTATGAACTATAAAATATTTTATAGGAAAGTGCTCTTTAACTTATACACTTTGATAAAGGCATTCCCTTTTATTTTTAATATTTTGGTTTTTTTATGCCTGCTACAAAAAGGCAATTTAATTTTACATTAAGCTGCTCAGTAATCTGGAAAGAGTATTTTGGGACAAGTGTTATTCAAGTGTACTGATGATGAAAGTCTTTTGTTAATACATTAACAGACTTTGAGTAATCAGAGATCATTTACTGGACATGACAAGTTTCATCCTGTCTAATTAAGTACACATTAAGTCTTGGCACAGATTTTCTTAGGCAAAACTTTGCTCAACAACAACTTGAATCCACATAGAACCCTCACCTTTAGTATCTTGAATATTCTTTGTTAATGCATTAATTCACATGCCTAAATTTTACAAGACGCCTGAGAGTAAGTGAAATGCATAAAGATATTTCTCACATTGTTGCTGTTTAAGTGACTTTTTATGTTTTAAAAATTCTTGGCCGAGCATGGTGGCTGAGGCCTGTAATGCCAGCACTTTGGGAGGCCAAGGCAGGCGGATCACGAGGTCAAGAGATCGAGACCTTTCTGGCCAACATGGTGAAACCCCGTCTCTATTGAAAATACAAAAAATTACCTAAGTGTGATGGTGCGTGCCTGTAGTCCCAGGACTCTGGAGGCTGAGGCAGGAGAATTGCTTGAAACCCGAAAACGGAAGTTGCAGTGAGCCAGGATCCTGCTACAGTACTCTAGCCTGGCAATGGAGCAGACTCAGTCTCAAAAAAAAAAAAAAAGATTCTTAAGAAAGGTCTTCAGCAATGCTTCTACTTTGCATTAAATAATAATCAAACATCCCTTTGGGGGTATGTCAGACAGATTAATAAATCAGCCCTTCACCCAGACATTCACGCATAGATTCGCTTTTTTATTACGAATCATCCTTTAGTTTTCCTTGTTGCCACAGAAATAAACAAGAAAGTGGTTCCTGGAGAACTTTAAGAACACAGAGATTTGTCTTTGTGAGATAAGCTCTAAGCGTAACAGAGGGCTAGAAATGGAAAACTGAACCTCACATCTCAGATTTTCTTATTTATATATTTTTAAAAATAGACATGAGTTCTCATTCTGTTGCCCTGGTTGGTCTCCAGCTCCTGGGCTTGAGCAATCCTCTTCCCTCGGCCTCTTGAGTAGCTGGGACTGTAACTGTGAGCCACTGCACTGGGCCAGATTTTCATGTTTTTTGGCTTGTTTTAAATGACAGAAGACATTTTCATTGTGCAATTAAACTCTGTGGAAATACGTAAAACATGTGTTCTTCCTCCACTCAACCATTTGGATCTGCTTAAAAGACAATAAAAAATTTGTTAAGTAAACTTGGCCAACGAATGAAAAGATATTATTTTAATTGGAGATTATAATAGTTGTTTAGGACTGCCGTAAGAATACTGCAAAGTGGGCGGCTTACCACAACATAAATTCACTCTCTCTTGGTTCTGGAGGGTCGCAGTGCAAAGTCAAGGTATTGGTAGGATCCTGATCCCACTGAGCGCTCTGAGAGAGAACCTGCTCCTTGCCTTTCTCGTAGCTTCTGCTGCCGTCAGCAGTCCTTGGTGTTCCTGTGTTTGTCTCCGTCATCACACAGAGTTTTCCTTGTGTGTCTGTCTGCATCACCTTTCCTCTGTACACAAATCCTTTCTTCTGATAGGATACCAGTCTTACAGGGTGAAGGACCCACACTACTCCAGTATGACTTTATCTTAACTCACATCTCAATTACATCTGCACGGACGCCATTTCCAAGTAAAGTCACATTCACACGTACCAGGGGTTAGGACTTCAACATACATTTTTGGGGGACACAATTGAAAGTATAACAAAGATCATTTGTATTTACCTTTCTGATAATTGTTAACAGTTTCTTTTGCAAGATAGTAGCCCTGATTTCCCACTCAGAGCTCGCTGAATATGAAATGTACTTTTAAACAAGTTTTGCTCAAAGTCCCAATAAATAACCAAATGTTTTTCCTTCTCATTAGTTTGACTTTGGAAAAATATCAAAATCTTATTCCTTAAGGTGTCTGTGAAACATTTAAACAACTCAAACCAGGTTTGGGTCAAAATGATTTTTCTAGCTCATTTTTCCTACTAGCGTGGGCTGACACCTTAGTGTTACTCCATTTCTCCTCTAACTTTCTACCTACAGAAGTCGGCTCACTCAGGCACTGACACGCTCAATCACTCCTTTGTTTTAATGAGTGCCCACAACTTCCCAGCACTGTGTTCGGTGAACAGGCTGCACAGATATGATTAAGATACCGGTCTGGCTTTCAAAGAGATATGAGTATGTGGATGAGAGTAAAAGAAATCATTTTCAAAGTGTAGAATTGTGTAAATGTGGAATAGAAATATGTCTCCTAAATCATTTCATTAAGCCTGAAGAAGACAGCTCAGCTCTGCACAAGTGGGCTGTGAACCTGGGATTCAGGAAAAACTTGCTTGCTTCTTCTTGCCATTGGCTGGAAGATGACTATCCGTAAGGCAAATCGGAAATATTCTCTTGCTTAAAATGTTTCAATGACATTGATCGGCAAATGAGAAATACTGTTCTAGTTTTTCACTACCTTGTGAACAATCTTTTAATTTGTCTCATGTATACATTTTTTAATTTTTTCAAAGTATCCTACAATACATGCCCATGAAGCTAATCTTTTTTTTTTTTTTTTTTGAGACAGAATTTCACTCTTGTTACCCAGGCTGGAGTGCAATGGCGTGATCTCGGCTCACCGCAACCTCTGCCTCTTGGGTTCAGGCGATTCTCCTGCCTCAGCCTCCTGAGTAGCTGGGATTACAGGCGTGTGCCACCATGCCCAGCTGATTTTTTGTATTTTTAGTAGAGATGGGGTTTCACCATGTTGACCAGGATGGTCTCGATCTCTTGACCTTGTGATCCACCCGCCTCGGCCTCCCAAAGTGCTGGGATTACGGGCTTGAGCCACTGCACCCGGCGAAGCTAATCTTTAACTTTGTAGTTGAGTCCAAAGTTAGACATTAAGTCAGAGTTAGAATTTGCATCACGTGAATTGAGTAAATATAAAATGAATCTGAATAGGGAAGATTAAATGCAAAAAACTTGACACTTGGGACAATTATAAATTCATTCATATATTCAATCAAATTCCAGACAAGACATAATTGACTATGGGGATAATGAACTTAAAAGATTCTAGAGTTTTAACTTGAACAAATAATGATCTTAGTAATTCTGTTAGTCCATTCTTGCATCGCTATAAAGAAATACCTGAGATTGGGTGATTTATCAAGAAAGGAAGTTTCATTGGTTCACAGTTCTGCAGGCTGTACAGGAAGCATGATGCTGGCCTCTGCTAGGATTCTTGAGAGGAGAAGCCTCAGGAAACTTACAATCATGGCAGAAGGCTAAAAGGGAGCCAGGCTTCTAACATGGCGAGAGCCTGATGAGCAAGGTGTGGGGGAGGTGCTACACACTTTTAGATAACCAGAACTTGCAGAACTCTGTCATGAGGACAACAGCAAGGGGATGGTGCTAAACCATTAACAAAGGATTCACCTCCATGATCTAATCACCTCCCACCAGACCCCACCTCCAATTCTGGGGATTACAATTCAACATGAGGTTTGGTAGGGACACAAATCAGTAATACAAGAAAAAGTGAAAACAGAGAAATGAAAAGACATCAGCCATAGCAGTTATTAAAACATTTTATTAAGCTACAGTAATTCAAATATTTTAATCCTTATGAAAGAATAGACCAGGTACTCAATGGACTAGAATAGACCATTCAGAAACTAGCCTAAGTATACATGATATTTTTTTATGTGATAAAGGAGGCATGGTTTAATTAATTAATTAATTTATTTATTTATTTTTGAGACAGTCTCACTATGTTGCTATGTGCCAGGCTGCAGTGCAGTGGCGCGATGTTGGCTAACTGCAACTGTGGGGGACGTTCCCTTGTAAGACCCCCAAAAGGTGTGGGTCTCACTATACGGTGAGCTTGATCCCAAACACAGTTTCCTGCTGGAGGCAGTCGAGCTATTGGAAAGAAGGAACTGAAAGATGACCGATCAGTTTCTGATATCAACCACGATATCGTTTGGGCTTAAACTATGCGGTGCTGCTAGACTAAGTGACTCCATACCAGCAACCAGTTTCTGCTTTTAACTTTTATGACTCTTTCTTTAAAAGTAGCTTTAACCTTTTCTTTACTTGCATGACTGCCTTGTACCCTAGACAATGGTTTAACGACTTAGCTTGTGACTTTCTGATATTGTTATCTGGACAGAGACCCCTTCTGGAAAAATAGATAAAGTACACCACCTGGTCACTTTTATGAGCTGTGATCATAAACCCCCGGCACAACCAAATGTACTTGTGACTTTTTGATTTTGTAACTTTCTGTTCCCTTTTATTGTTCTTCGCATACTGTCAGGATGAGGTCATTCACTTTGATCTTAAAATACATAATGAGACCCTGGACAAGAATAAGCTCGCTGTTTAGGCACTGCCTTCTCAGCCCTCCAGACCCCTGCTTCCTGTCTCCCTTTATTTCTATAAGCGCACGCTCTCTTCCAGGTTTTGGGACCCTCTTGCAGGTCGAGAGATCCCCGGCAGCTGAGCCATCCCAACTATCCCCAACATGCAACCTCCACCTGTCTGCTTCAAGCAATTCTCCTGACTCAGCCTCTCGAGTAGCTGGGACTACAGGCACACACCACCACACCCAGCTAATTTTTGTATTTTTAGTAGAGACGGGGTTTTACCATGTTGGCCAGGATGGTCTGGATCTCTTGACCTCGTGATCTGCCTGCCTCAGCCTCCCAAAGTGCTGGGATTACAGGCGTGAGCCACCACACCTGGCCCAGAGGCATGGTTTATTAGCAGGAAAAGATTGAATTGGTTAATCAACGTTAACAGGACCATTAGAAAGCTACATGGAAAAAAGTCCATTTAGATACTCACTTACTCACCACCCAATAAACAAGAAAATAATTTGAGATGCAATTAAATCCAAACATTGGAAGCAAGATTTTGCTTCCACACATGCAGGATTTCATCACCACAAAAACTCTTTAATGCCACCCACTTACAGTCACACCCACAAAAGAAATCATACGGATTGTGACCTTTTGAGGTTGGCTTTTCTTCCCCATGCAGCCTAACGCTTTTGAGACACACTCAAGTCGTTGGTATGTCCGCCGTTTGTCCCTCTTCGCTGTCCAGCAGAACTAGTTGTAAGGATGAGCCACAGACGGCCAAACCGTGCATCTATTCAAGGACTTACTGTTGTTTCCAGCGTTTGGAAAAGCCATTTTCTTTTTCCTTTTTGTGGGTTAATTGACATTTTTTTTATTTCCACTTTAATTCATCTGTAGTGTTTTTGAGTGTACCTCTTTGTATAGCTTCTTTGCTATTTAATAAATGCTATGGAGAATAGATACATATTCAAGAAAGGGAATATGATATTGATAAAGAACAAAAGAAAAGAGAGTTATAAATGCCATGAATTTATTCAACATACAAATTTTATTTATTTCCAACCATCTTCCCTTCTTTCTCTTACTGCCCTCTCTCGGTAAGTCTGTTCTTCATTTCTGAAGTTCATCTGATGAGGTCCGTAAGTTCCTGTTTTCAAGCATTTCCTTGTTGAGATTCTAAATAGTAAGAGAAGAAGGAGAAATATTAGGGAAATTCTGTGACCTATTTAAGAATAATTCTTTATATTTCAGTTATAAATATTTGAACTTAGTAACTTTTAGTGACAGGGATGTTCGCCATTTTTTCATATTTAAAAATAGAGAAGCGAAGGTTTCGTGGCAAATTCTGTGTCAAAGATGAACACTGTCAATCAGCCTACAGGAAGGTCTCATAGATCACACCTTTCATGCTGTGCTATATGCATAATTACGGTGACCAATTTCTTGGCTTTAACTAGTTTACACTTAGAAATATCCTAGAAAGGCTATTGGTGATGAATTTATCACCATCAGGTATAGAATGGAAACTATATATTAGATAGTTTAGTTTTTATATGTGGCAAATTCTTGGATGAATCTTCCAACAAGTCACCCAAGATACCAGTAACTCTATTTAACTTGCATTTTTTTTCTGAGAAATTCTATAGTACACTTGATATAGTTCAATTTATATATGGTACATCAGGGGATTTTAGGATTTGGAAAGAAAGCATTCATCACAAGCAGTAGCCGTATGCAGAGAATTGAGATGCTTATTTATTTTGAAGTTGGGATTAGACTTTACTGTTTAACTGAAATGCTTATTTAGTTTCTTTCAATTGGAGTTAGACTGAATCATTTATACTTTACCAGCACTACAAGGGGCATTGTATTCTTCAAAGGTGAATTCATCTGAAACACAGAAATTATTGGACAGAAAGAGTGAAGACATTCAGGCATAAGCACCTAAGATGTGAATTGTAAATAAACTGTGTAAGCTAAGAAAGAAAGTAGAAAGCCTCACTGTAGAGCCAATAAAAATGACTTCTCTATTAAGCTGCTTGGGATTGGTGGGAGGAAACGAAAGAAAATCTGGCTTGGGAACAGAATTGAGAGGCCGGGCACACAGGTGGTGTGTCTGAGTGTAGTGACAGGACTCTGTAGATGCTGCCTTTTCACAGCTGCGGTTTTCTCATTGGAATTGCACCTTTCTCTCTGAACCTTTCCTTAATCGAAGAAGAAAAGTTTCAGCACTACCATCGTGCTACAATGCTGATAATTTTCTAGCTCAAAACCATGAGCAAATGAAAGTATTTCCTGATATATTACAAAGTTCTCCAAATGTTGTGAGCCGAATCGAAGCACAAGTCAAAAACAGATTAAATTTTAGGTCTCATGTCACACATCAGCACTGAGATGTTTGTTCAGTTATTGTACTCTTCTTATCTCTTTGGAATAAGTCAGCCCAGGACAAACAACTTTATAGGGAAATTTAGATAGAATGGAACCTCTCATTGCCTTATGGTCAATGTATAAGAATGACTCTAAGACTTGTTTGCAGTGGACATGAGAGGTTAATACACAAGAACATGATTATCCAGTGCCCACAAACTCACTTATTTCCCCAGTGAAAGACTGTGAAGTTTTGCATTAGTTAAGGTAATCCTTTACTAGATTAGTAGTTCGTTTGTTTGTTTTTTTTCATTTCAAAGCTCAGCATGTCTGAATCTCACTCACCTGTCTCATAATAATCATAGGCTTTTACCACAGCTGGTTTTAAATTCTTTACTTGGATATCTTGTTCCACCAAGAAGAAAAAATGCTGCTTTTGACTGGTTAGCTGGAGAGACAGGAAAATAATTGGAATCAAAGATTAACTTAGTATCTAATTACTGTCCTCTCTTCATAAGATATTATCAAACCCTGTAGTTATGCTATATATCTGTACCAAAACCTATGAAAAGAAAGCAGAATTTTGCCACCTGCATAGCATACTCAATGATAGAGTAAAAAAGGACAAAAGACACAATTTAGCAGACAGCCAAATGTAATAAATCAAGCCTGTTGACCAGGTGTCCCCAAACTACGGCCTGCAGGCCGCATGCGGCCCCCTGAGGCCATTTATCTGGCCCCCCGCCGCACTTCAGGAAGGGGCACATCTTTCACTGGTGGTCAGTGAGAGGAGCACAGTATGTGGCGGCCCTCCAACGGTCTGAGGGACAGTGAACTGGCCCCCTGTGTAAAAAGTTTGGGGACGCCTGCTGTTGACAGTCCAAGCCTCATTTCTTGTTATAGCCACATTGTCCTCTCTCAGCTGTGTATGTGAACAGCACTATTTGGAATCTGTTACGGTTTGTTAGAACCTCCAGTTGTTATTCCAGATCTAGCAGAGTCACAGAAAGTCTTACCTTTTCAAAGTAGATCAGGACATGATTGGTGCTCACTTCAGTCCTCTGAATCTGGGGTTGCATCTGGAGCTGTTGATCAAGAGGATAAGCCAGAAATATGGAATGATAAAACTTTATCCTGGCAGCAGTTTTCAGGTATTTATGATCTAAACAGCTTCTCGGAGCATCCAAATGGATAATTTTGATTTCTTCAAGAATAATAATGATAATAACAATAGTAATACTTATTGAACTTTTATTCTCTATATATGCTATAATTATATATGCAGATACATATGTGATATATATATGCATGTATACACACATATCCTTTTCTCTTTGTATATATATCTGGAAAATAATTCAATACCATTCCACATAACTAGGTGTCCTGGGCCTGTTGGAACATTATTTATCGTGTTTCTGACTTATGCCCTATACTTGACACCATGTAACCAAGACACCCTATTAAAATGACAGAGATGCATACTAGAGAAGCAATCTTGAGGGAAAACACCTCTTGAAAAGTCCATCAATAAAGTCAAATTGACAACGATAAAGGCCAGCATTTACTATTTGCAAGGGATCCAGGGATTACCTGTTTAACTGATTGTTTTACAGGAATGAAGCCTGATACCATCTTCACATCAACAATGACCATGTTGGAGCTGGGTCGGTCCCCAGTATAACTATAAAATCAAAGCATAGGAATGAGGGATTCAAACAAAATTTTTTGGGATCCATTCAAGACAAACTCTCTCTTTACCTTTTATTTCTAACACTAAGTTACTACATCTGCTGTATCTGTTTCTGTTACGGTTGTTTGGAAAAACCATCATTTTAAGCTCACACTGGTCAGATATTGTAATATCCTATTCTTAAGGCGAAGGCTTTTCCAGAAAATTTTCTTGTTAATAAACACTGCAAGAATTCCATATTCATTACGTGTGGCTTTGGATAGTGGAGTTTCTCCACATAAGAAAATCAATTTCTCCATATTCTATTAGGTTGGTGCAAAAGGTCTGGTCATGATCTAGGAGTTACCTAATGTTGATGTGAATCTGGAACTTTCTGCGAGCATCCACTCCATCACAATTCGTGGGGAGAGTATTAACCTGCAGAGCGAAGGGTTCTTTCTCTTCTTTCTTGGGTAGGATGTTATATCTCAGGGATGTCTAAAACAAATGAAAAAATCCTTCATTTTTTGCACTTAAATTGTCTCATCATCTGTTCCAGATGATTCATACCTTCCCTTAGCACACATTTCTTTTGCTTGTTCTGAAATTCAAACATAACCCTTGAGACTTTCCCTCCCATTCGCAGCATATCCGAAATCCCAGAGTCTCACCTGAAGGTACACACACCCTGACCCTGACACGGTTGTGGTGTACTCCCCTGGAACCTTTGGCAGCTGGACCTTCTGCAGCAGCAGGCAGTTGGCATCATCCACGTGGAAGTCCTTAGAGAAGGTGTCTGAAGATTTGACAGTAACCAAAGCTGCTTTCTCACTGTTGGTGAAAGTTGCTGTTCCGTATTCGGAGAGGGCTTGAAGAGCCACCACTGTGTCCTGAAAAAATAATGGGTATAGAAATCACAGGAGAGGAAAGTAACAAACTCACACTGAATGTAAACCACAACAACACTATTATTTTTCAGAATTATTTAGTCATAAACACAGTTGACTAACTCCATTTCAATTCAGTTCAATCTGGTTAGTAATGATAAACTATTCTAGCTACTTTGAAGGTAAATTTATACAAAGTTTCATCATTCAGCGAGTTTACAATATACATATGGAGATAAGACTCAGATATTTGACACAAGCCCAGGCTAGTTCAATAATTTGTAAATTTATGTAACAATATTTGTTATAAAAGTTCAGAAAAGAGAAAAGAAAATATGGGTTAGGACAGTAAGAGAGACTGAAGAAGGTGAGAAATAGGATTATCTCTGAATAATAAGCAGGGTTTATGTAGAGAGAAGAGAGGCATCAGGGTGGGGAATGCTCTATGGGAAGTCACGTAAACTGCAGGGAGCCAGTTCTGGAACAAGCAAAGGGATCTGCCTCATCAGGCTGGTGCACTCGTGTTTACTGGGGAGAGAAAATATTTTGGATAAAATACTAGATAATTTTAGGCTTTGGGTGAAAAAGAATATTTATTTTCTAAGGGAGGTAATCCCATGAAGACATTGCTTTGTCAAGACAAGCCTACCTGTGTGGTTGGGGGTCGCTAGAGAGTCAGAGAGGAGAGAATATAAAGGGGACAGAGCAGTTATCCACTTACAAGAGAGTAAGACTGAAACTTGTCTGCCAGTGGAGGGGTGGAGAAGGTGTGAATTAGAAATACGAACTATTCCATTATTCAACTCCTAGGAGATGGTTGTGCCTTCATAGTTGTTAATATATTCATGTTTCCTTCTAGAGTCTCGCCACAGACCTGAGTGGAGGAGAAGCCCCCATGGGGGTTTTGCTGCTTGGTAATCCACTTCACAATACGTGATGCCACAGACAGGTCCTCTAAAGATGGGGCAGGCTGGACAGTAACATAGGCAAGGAGCACATAAGATGCCATCTCCACTTCCACAGAGGGAGCCCGGAATTGAGAATGGGGTGTCTCAGCTTCTCGAAGTTTCCCGGGATGTTGCCAGTGGATTGAATCCTCTTTGACATGGAAAAGGGTAGAATTTTAACTTAAAGAATGGCTTCAAAATCTAATCCATGAGTGAAGATTATAATTACAGCTTACCTAATAAATTGACCTTTCATTTTAACGAAGTGAAAGCATTAAACAAAATGAAAGCATTAGTCACCATCAAATAAATCTTTGTCAAGAAAGTAAAGTTCCAGAGAATAACATTGAGCCTGTGTGTCTGTTACATGTATGTGATAGTAGAAGCTGGGACTGTATAGAGTCTATACTGTGTGGCTTACTAAAATGATCCATGCTATCTAAAGAATTCCAGTCTTAGATCAATGATAATTAGTCTCACTGTCACTAAATTAAGGTAGCATGATAGGCATGAGCTCAGTAGAGGTATCCTTCCTTCTTCTGGTCACTGGGGATTGTTGGAAGTAAACTTTGCAGTAGCAGCTCTTACCTTCTTTCACAGCCTCTCTGTTTAATGATTCAAGCAGCTCTCTTCGCTTGACCTGGTTTCCTGCTAGGGCAAAGGCATAGGCCAATAATGCTTTGGTATAGACGAGACTTCCCTGGGCCTCTGAGGTGGATCTCCAGGCTGTTTCAAGGCAGAATAGGGCCTTACTGACGCTTGGGCTCTATGAAGAAGATGAAAGGCTATTGCAAAATAGCAGAACCAGGTGAATGAGCTTCCCCAGGCTAACTGTAGATTAAAAACCCTAATGTGCCTGTGTAACCTCACAGTTCTGACCAGAGAGGAGTTTCCTCTGCTGCTTCCAAAAGGATCTGGTCCATTACATTCCAGTGAAATATGCCAGAATTGAATTCCATAAAAATCACAATTATTTCCCTCAGGGATCCATCATATCATCATTTTGTTCTTTACATGTGTGAAGGTGGTACAGGGGATGTGTGTGACGTACCGTGGCAGGCAGTTTCATCTCCAGCAGAGCAATGGTGATGTAGGCAGAGAGTGTCACCTCGTCGTCCACCCCACCCTGTAGGGGTCAGAGGCAGACAGACTCAAACACTTCACCAGTCATGGGGCAGCATCTGCTAAAACTTCCTTTCCCTTTGACATCTTCACTAGATGGTTTCGTGTCTTGTGCTAGAATGTCGATTTTCTCCTCTTCCTCCTCTACCCTAAAATTCTCACTTTTTTTTTTTTTTTGAAACAGAGTCTCACTCTGTTGCCAGGTGCCAGGCTGGAGTGCAGTGGCACAATCTTGGCTCACTGCAACCTCCGCTTCCTGGGTTCAAGCAATTCTCCTGCCTCAGCCTCCCGAGTAGCTGAGACTACAGGCGCATGCCACCATGCCCAGCCAATTTTTGTATTTTCAGTAGAGACAGGTTTCACCATGTTGACCAGGATGGTCTCAATCTCTTGACCTCGTGATCTGCCCGCCTCGGCCTCCCAAAGTGCTGGGATTACAGACTTGAGCCACTGCGCCCGGCCCTCACTTTTTATAATGTGTTCGGCTTTGGAGGTTTTTTGACCACTATTTTCATTTAATATAAAACTACTAAGGTACTGCTAGATTTCAGGAGATTTAGAGTCCACCATTCTTCCTGAAATCGATGTCACTAAGACTGGAGGACTCAATTCAGACATCATTTCCTCCCACATATCACCATCTTCAGGGATCAGAACAGAAACAGAGATGGCATCACCATAATGGCGTTGTTCAGCAGTGATCCTGAGCGCTGGAAACAGCCGTTTTCCTTTTGCCTCTCTGAGAGCCACTCGAAGGCGTCCCTGAGGTGTGAGTCATCCACAAAGACGTACGATCGGGCTTGGGCAAAGGACTTGAGCACAAATGCGGTGAGCCTGTCAGCAAAACAGAGACGCAGACGTGAGGACCACCTCACTTCCACAGCTGACTTTGTGTACTGCCCCCAGACACTGCTCCTCACAATGAAGCAGAGACCATCACTGGGAGGAATTGATGGAGAAATAGTACAGAAGAGCTGAATATACTCTAGTCCAACCAACATCTCAATATCTTTATGACCTCTCAACCTTATTGGTTTCTCTGAGTTGATGCTTTTTAAATTTTTTTGTTATGAAACATTGGTTGGAGCTCCAAGCCTCCCCACCATCAAAACTGCATTTCCAGAATGACTTGTTCTGATTTTCCTGCTTCACAGTCTCCTCTGTCCTCTCCCTTCTCTCCGTCTTTAATGCAGAGTGTGGAAGCTTCTTCCTCTGTCATTTTCTAGAATGACATTTTCTGCCTTATATTTCCATTTAGAAGATCCTTATTTCACCACTTTCAGCTGTGTTATCCCAGCAGGTAAGCTTTCTGAGATGCCATGGTGAGATTACCCAACAGGAATGATACATACAGCACATGTGTTATTTAAAGACTAACAATTTTCCACAAAAACTCCAGATATTAGAGAGTAGCTATTCTAGAATCCTGGAATGTCATGGATCTAGAGAGAGCATAGGGAAAGAATAATCTTACCAAGTGTTTCCCTTGCTGCTACCATCACGTTCCCCAAAGGTGCTGTAGGAACCATCTATGTGCTTATAATTCAATTGCCTTTGGTACCCTGAAGAGGAAGCATTCACAGATTTATTAAAATGGCACAGACATTGGAGGATTGTTAAGCTTTTTTTCTCAGTGCTGTTAGGAATAACACGATAACTAATATTTAATTAAAATTTCTCCTAACCCCCAATCACAGGCTTGATAATACTATTGAATTTTCTACTTGTATATTGGGACACTTTATTGAAATTCACGACAATGACTATCAAATCTTTTTTTTTTTTTTTTGAGATGGAGTTTCGCTCTTGTTACCCAGGCTGGAGTGCAATGGCACGATCTTGGCTCACCGCAACCTCCGCCTCCTGGGTTCAGGCAATTCTCCTGCCTCAGCCTCCTGAGTAGCTGGGATTACAGGCACGCGCCACCACGCCCAGCTAATTTTTTTGTATTTTTAGTAGAGACGGGGTTTCACCATGTTGACCAGGATGGTCTTGATCTCTTGACCTCGTGATCCACCCGCCTCGGCCTCCCAAAGTGCTGGGATTACAGGCTTGAGCCACCGCGCCCGGCCGACTATCAAATCTTAATGAAAGAGATGTTGACTTTAGTTCACCATGAAATGTTTAAGAGATTAACTAAGGCTCTTCCTTTGGAGGTAATCTCTCACCGCTGATGAGGTAGTTGACGGCTTTGGTCTTGATCTCCTCTGTCAGCTGTCGTGTTGCATTCAGATAGTTCAGAACGTAAATGTTGGGAACAAAAAGGACCATATTCTGCTCTCCACAACCATAGGGCATCTGGAGAAGGTTCTGAAGGTTTTGTACCACAGAGCCTAGTATATCACCTGTGGAATAAAAGTGGTAAAGAAATCAGAGATGGTTGGTATTGGGCTAGGAAAACAGATTGCTAGCTGACTGAGAGGCCAAATGACCTATATAGGGAAGGACAGGAAGACTCTAAAAAGTAAAAAAGCAAGAAATATGGAGGAAAATAAAAGGTGAGAAAATAAGGTAGATGGTTCAAGGATGGAGAAAGCAGGGAAGAGACTGAATGGTAGGTGGTCTGTCTTTTCTCATGTGCCACATGCCTGGTAAAACTCAACCACAACCATTTTCAAATTGACTAGGAAGCATCACCACCTAGTAAATTGCTTGAAGATGAGGGCCTGAAGAGGTGACCCTTTCCTGTTACAGTATTTCAAGGCATAATATGTAGAACAGTATCTGTTCAACCCCCTTTCCAACTGTAACATAGTATAACCCCTAGCTTAGTACTTTCTCTCAATTCAGTGCCTACTGTCAGAGACCTCATTGATCATGGTTGGTGGGGCCCATGCACTAGAATTATAGAGCTAGACAGCTGCTTCCCTTGGGCTGAAAGACTCACCCAAAACTGAATATGTTGCCCTGGGAGATCCGTCGACCACATTTGAAGGAACATTCAGTGACACCTTTTCAGATACTCCAGTATCTAACGAAAGAAGACAAACACATGTAAAGGAGGGGAAAAGGAGAGAAATGTTCTATTTTTGTCATGAATCCTTTTTCTCTCCATCATCTAGATCCAACCTTTTATTTTCCTTGGTCATTATGTAACTTCTTCTTCTTTTTTTTTTTTTAGAGATGACGTCTCACTCCGTTGCCCAGGCTGGAGTGCAGTGGCACGATCTTGGCTCACTGCAACCTCCACCTTCCAGGTTCAGGCAATTCTCCTGCCTCAGCCTACTGAGTAGCTGGGATTACAGGCGTGTGCCACCATGAACAGCTAATTTTTGTATTTTTAGTGGAAACGAGTTTTCACCATGTTGGTCAGGCTGGTCTTGAACTCCTGACCTTGTGATCCACCCGCCTTGGCCTCCCAAAGTGCTGGGATTACAGGCATGAGCCACCATGCCTGGCCTTTTTTTTTTTTTTTTTTTTGAGACAAAGTCTCGCTCTGGCTGAAGTATAGTGCCATGATCTCGCTGCAACCTCTGCTTCCCGGGTTCAAATGATTCTTGTGCCTCAGTCACCGGAGTATCTGGGATTACAGGTATGTACTATAATGCCTGGCTAATTTTTGCATTTTTTGTAGACAGGGGGTTGGCCCAGCTGGTCTTGAACTTCTGGCCGAAAGCGATTTGCCCACCTCCATCTCCCAACGTGCTGGAATTACAGCTGTGAGCCATCACACCTGGTTCAGTTATCATATAACTTAATTGAAGCAATCCACGTTTCCCTTAAAGCCACGATTCATCTCTCAGTGAAGTTCATATTCATCATATACATTTGTGCTAACTTTCTATGGCTTTCCTTCTAGGCAGATACTTGTGGTATACGTATTTCCTTCTCTTCATGATTTATATTAATTCCTACTACTGTCAGTGCTTTTCGAGAATGATATTCCTTCCATTCATTTGTATTCAGTATATGCTGTGTACCAGGTTCTGTTTTAAGTACAATGATACTGAAACTCTCAAAACAAATTTCCTGGCCTTCTGGAGATTTCATTTTTAGGGGAGGGGTAAGATAAAGAAGCAAGAGTATATTTAGTATGCTAGATGTTGGTAAGTGTTTTAGAGAAATTAAAGCAGGGTAAACATTTCTACGGTGAGCTAGTAAAACAGGGCAGGTCAGGAAGTGCTGGATGTGGGGAGGCGCTCCCTGTGGAAAACCTCCTTGATAAAAATTCCTACATGAGCAGAGACTCTAAGTAAGTCAGGGAGCCCAGAGTTACCAAAACCTGCGAGAAGATACTTCCAGGAAACAGGAACAAAAGGTAAAAGGACTCCAGAGGATGAAGCATGCTGGTTGTATTCCAACAGGAAGAAGGAGGTCAGCGTGGCCGGCACGGGGTCAGCAAAGGCGAGATTAGGAAGGTGTGAAGTCGTGGGGTAGCAAGGGTTTCTAAGCGGCATTAAAAACTGAGTCTTCAACCTTGGGGGACATGGAAGATTTCTGAAAGGGTTAGAGAAGAGAAGGGACATCATCTGACGCATGTTTTAAAGGATCCCTCTTGCTGAAGGAGGATAGGAAGAGATGATCAGTAGACCAGTTAGAAAGCTCTTGAGAGCCTGCAAGTGAAAGGACTAGAGTAGCAGAGATGGAGAGGAGTGGGCAGATTCTGGATACAATGTGAAGGCGGAATCGACTGCATTTGTGCGTGGACTGGGTAGGGAGGATAAGGGGAAGAGCACAGTAAAGAAGAACTCCAAAGGTTTCTCCCCACCGAGAAGAATGGATTTTTCATCATCTGAGATGAAGGAAATTGAGGGAGGAGCTGGTTTGTGAGGACGAGCAGATACTCCATTTTAAACTTGCTAATTTTGACATCCCTATGAGACCTACGAGGCTGTGAGCGGAGGGGAGTGGGCAGGTGGATACACGGGTTTGAGTTCAGGAGAAAGGTGGGAATCATAGTTGTAAATTTTGGACATTAGTACATAGCTGTATTAAAGCCATTGACCAGATGGTTTTATCCAGGGCTCCTCATGCAGAGAAGAGAGATCTGCAGACTGGTCCCTAGCCACAAGATGATTGAAGATGTCACAGAGTTGAATGTTTAATGATCTCTTAAATAAAATTTTTAAAAGTGTTAGCTTTTCCCCTTCTCTTTCAATATAGTGGTAATTTTTATATTGTTATGTTAATAATATTAGTAACATATTAGTTTTCTATACAAGTTAGTAACCTGGAGTTCCTTTTAAAATAACTTAAGAAAAAACATGAGTACATTTGAACTGTTAATTGAATAATAAATCATACTAATGTCACACAGATATTTCAATATTTTGAACACGGTTTAGGAAGACATTTGAGAAACAGAGATATATTAGAAAGAACAGTGTCCTGAGGTCAACAGCCTTAGTCCTTATCATTAGGCAAGAGCTTTTAAGCTTCTAAGCAAGTCTTTCATATTCTCTATGCTCATTTCTTTATTCTTAAAATTTGATAATAATACTTTATCGTAAAAAGAACTCTCTGTTTATTCCCCTAAGAAAATTCAGCCTCATTCCAAGTGATTTTCATCAGGACAACGGTTTTCATCCAATGTCCTTAGATTTGGAGGAGGGTAAGAGTTTTTTTCTCTCTCAGGGAAAAGCATGTCCCCAAAAGACATTCCGCAACTATATACTCGGGCAAGTTACTTAACATGAAAAATTTATCTATTTATTACACTTACCTGATGCGCAGAGCAGCGTGTTGAAAGTTTCCTCCTTGGCTATTCCTTCGGGCTTTATGTTGACAACAAAAACAGAAAAGTAAAGTGATACTGAATGCACAGGAGAAAAAGGAAACACTTGAAAGCAAAGGAGAAAATGTTGGTGAAAAATTGGATTGTAGATCTGTCCACGTTCTTGGGAATGAAATGTTCCTGTCGGATGCATATTAGATGATACCATATGCAATAATAAGGCCTCTGAGACTCACAGAGGGTAAACTCACGTACCTCAACTAGTAAGGGCTTGACTACAGTGTCCTTTGGTGCGTGTCTTGGGACGTCGGTCACCTGATTGTCACACATTTCCCGAAAATGCACGGCTTCTGCGGTAGCTGTGAAATTCACCTCTCCTGGGGAATAAAGTTCTTAAGGAGTTAAACGGTAATTCTATATTGAACAGTTTCTTCTTTTTAAGTTTCCTCAATGTATCCAGTGGTTGGCTTCCTCTTGATTAGTATTAAAGGAGGAGAAAAAGCAAGTATTGGGGTCACTGCAGAAAAGAAATCATCTCAGCACATGAAGTGGAATTTGCTAATAGCATTACTACTCACCCAGTGACTTTGGGGTCACAGTCCAGGACACGGTTTTCCGTCCGTTTCTACAGACACAGTGAGGTTCTTCATTCTTCTCTACTGGGACAGCCAGGAAGGCGGAAGAGACCTCCAGCTGCACAATGACCTGTCCCCCACACCCAACCACAAGTTTGTGAAGAGACACGGAACAGGGTGAACACTGGGGAAGACGCTGGGAGGGACAATGTCTATCAGTCCAAAGGCGCTGAGAAGCTGTGCAAACATGGTCAGCTCTACCAGACACCTTGTCGTTTAGGGTTTGAAATAAGAAAACTAAAAAACTGACAGGAATTAGGATAAGTGCTTAGGGTTTAGCCTTGTGCCAACGGAAGAAAGAGATGTTTTCTTTAGTCAGAGTGAAAAACGTGAAGCAATCAGATGGCGATAATGTGTGAATTTAGGAATACACAGATATAGGAGCCTGAATGAATATAACGTTAGCAACTTGGCACCTGTCAGGTACCTTTGCTCTTAGTATCAGGTCTGTTCCAAAATTAGGAGATATCATATGCAGTTCTGATTTCCTGGGTTACCTAGGAGACCTGGTAATGGAAGGTGACCATCTTCTATTCTCATTTACTTCCAGAGAAGGGCCCTTACCCGAATGCAAAAGTCCAAGTAGTTAAACACAGTGGCTTTGAGTGTGAAGGCTTCTCCTCGCACCACAGAATATGGGAGGGTGAGCTCTAGGAAGAAAGGCTGGAAGACTTGAAGAGACACAGCAGGAGAGAGGCCGAGCCCTGTGGTTGCAGACAAGCAGAACGCGCTGGCCTTCCACTCCGTGATGGTGTCAGGGACCTGCAGCGCCAGCTCACTTCCACCTGATGAGCTAGTGAAGGAGCAGAGAGGAAGACTGTGAGCAAGCCTTTTTTTTTTTTTTTTTTAACATAAACTGTGGCTGATCCTGGAACACGATAACTCAGTAACTAGTTTGGTAAACGCGAAACCTGATCTAAGCCTTGGTGCTCCTAGTGAGGTCTTTACGTGTTTCCCTTCCTCCCTCTTTCCTCCCTCCCTCACTTCCTTCCTTTCTTCTTTCTTACATTCTTGCCTTCCTTTTGTTCTCTCTTTCAATCTCCCTCCCTTCCCCTTCCCTTTCCTTTACTTAAGAGGGATGGTAACATCCTATTTCTACTATTTTAGTTGTCTGTAGACCAAATTAGGAAAAAAATGATCACTGTTTGTTATGAGATAAATGAACTGTACCCCTCAATATTTACCAGAGAAGAGCAGAGCAGAGCTAACAGAGCTAACAGGATCAGGAGTCAAGGACACCATCAGCCGCACACAAGGATTCAAGCCCTCTCCTACACTAAATTCCAGGCAACACGCAACTTACTCAACTACCACCAAATTCCAGATCCAGGTCTCAGGGAAGTACTTCCGGACGATCTCTTCCACTTGCCACCTCTGAGGTTCGTCATCGAACGTTTGGGACATAATTTCTGGTTCTAATCCGGGAAGACAACACACAGGCTCCAGTGTGAACCTCATTTCTATCATCGATTTCTTATAGCTGCCTTATTTCTCAGGTGCAACAAGGTCATATGCTTGGGGAATGTTTATTATTGGAACAAACTAACCTTCCAGCTTGTTATTTTGTTCAGTTTCCTATAGAAAGGCTAACCCTATTTTTTCTTCAAATAGAATCTAGAGCTAAATATATTGTTCTTTATAAATAAAAATAAATGAACTGTACACGTACCTCCTGAATCTAAAATAAAAGTTGATTAAAAAGAGCAAATGTAGCTCTGTCTAAGATGGTTATTCAACTGGTGAAGGGAAGAATAAAGAGTAATTGAATACACCAAATATGGTCACATCTCTTCCATTTGCAGTGAGACTAAAACAAGAGGAATGGATATTAGCTAATCAAGATGATTTCAGGAATGATTTCTTGTTTGTTTCAACATTGAATGAGTAGGAGACATAAACAACAAGCAAGAGGATAAGGTGAAGTATGTGGTTTAGACAATGGGATTCAAGAATGAAAAGACAATTGACTTTAGATGGGCTGGAAATGGCTTCACCAAAGCAGAGCCTAGGGTGATCACCGACTGCATGGGGAGCAGAGGAGAATGGGAAGGCAGTCCCAGGAGAGGACCACACGGAAATATACACAAAGGTGGAAGGGAGATTCACGGGGGTAATAAAAATTTATTCTCTAGGATTTTTTTTCTGGTAAGGAAATATCTTTAATGACTCATTTTTTTCCAACTAGAACATTACTCCTTGCCTTCCCAGCCAATGAATCTGCTGTATTAAAATGTGTTTACTTTTTTTTTTTTTTTAACACTTTTTACTGCCATCCTCATTTGATATTAAAAAGTAAATTTAGTAGACATTCAAGCATGCAGAGAAAAATTTCTCTAGGCCTGATGACAGTAGAAAAGAATTTTCAAAGTTAGGCCCTTTTCAGCTTTTCCTCATTTCCAGGTATACTTGAAACACACTAAGAGACTATGCAGTAGTAGAGTATCTGCCAAAAGTTGAATTACTCTCTTTTGCTCAATATTACAAAAATCACTTCAACTTCCATCAGAAGATATGAGAGAGACCATTAATATCCACATGGGCCTTCCCATTTCTCAGCCTGCTTTGCATTTAAAGCAGGAACATGGGCAGAAGTGAGGAACACCATTCCTGGTCCTGGCTGTAAGAGCCACATGCAACCTCCTTCCCCATCGGTATGACCCTGAAAGCCACATTGGTGATGGCAGAGTCACCAGAGGAAAGCAACTGGTTCTCTGATTCACTGTTTGCCAGGGAGTTGTTCTGGAGAGTGTCTGAACTTACAAGTAGATTTCCTATGAGCAAAAATCAGATGTAGGAGTTTGTCTGTTACTGCAATTTAATCTAATTCTGACTAATTCAGGTATTGAATCCACCATAGACAAGGAAGATCTAAAATGCCAAGACTATTAAAGGCAAAAACAAAAAGGTAGTTGATCTTGATGTCAAAGAGAAAATAACAATAATTGCTTAAAATCCTATATTTGAGGAAAAAATATTATTTGAGGTTAACTTACCAAGAAATTGCTTCAATCTCAAGATGCAATACTTAGAAAAATAGCTTTTCATCTTAAACCAACCCAATAAAGCACCATTTTTCTTCCATTCTGTCAGACAGATAAATCGCACTCTTACCTCTTCTTGAGCCGTCTTGACGTGGACACAAATATGACTTATGGATTTTTGAGTTGGTGAAAATATCTAATCCTGTGGACTGAAAAAAAAAATTGTTAAGCATAGTGGCAATCCAATCTTGAGACTAAATAATTGCTTGAATTTGTACTGTACTTTCACTATGATTTTATATATAGTTCATAGGCACATCATGAAAATTACACATAATGAGGAGAGCTATTTATAAATTTGAGAATTACACATAAATGAGGAGAGCTATTTATAAAAAGTCATAGAGGTCAAGTTCATTGAGCTAGTGTGTGAATAGGATTGGGAATTCAAAATTTCCTGATTCTTATTGCTAAATATTGTCTGGTATACTCTAATACTCCTTAATTACTTTTTTTGCTTCCATAAAACTGAGTATCTTAGACTTAGATGTTTCCTTCTCTTTTCTCTCCACGAAACAGGTGTCTGCGTCTGTGTATGCATACACAGAGCTCTCCTTATGGCTTTCTTACAAGAGAGCATTTTTGGCTTGTTTCTTGTTATTTTAAATTGAAGGGTTGCATATTGGAGGTCGTTCTTTACAGTCTTAGTAAACTCTGTTTTGTTTATGTTTTATCAGAAGATACGGCTTTTCCTAAATGTCTACATGCCACCCCTTCCTGTGGTCCTTTTCTCTTTTTACTCAGTTTCTTTTAATTGTCTCAGATGCCTGCATCTAAAACCCCCATTCAGATGCCCCCAGTTGTCTGGAGTCCACCTGTTTCCATCTTCCCTCTTCTTCAGTATTAGTCGCAGATAAATATTATTTGCTATTTTATCTCAGAGTATTTGGGAAACTGTGGGACTCCTGAGCATAGTTGTCGGTGGGGGTTGTGATACACAACAGAAAGAAATAAACCAGAAATAAATGTTCAATGATGAAACAGCTAGTTAATAAACTAAGAAGTGTTCTTTCCATCCTTCTACCACCCCATTTACATTTCTGGAAGGTCCAGAAGAGAGAGATTTAAGTTGCTTTCAGCTAAGCTGTAGACCTCTATCAGACGAATGATATCTCTTCCTGAAGGGATGATAAAAGTTCTTAGTGCTGCTTGATAGTGAGACTATTTAATTTCACAACCTGGATAATTCTCCTCAGTTATAGTTAATACTAAAGAATTACATTTTTAAGACATTCTAACATTTCTAATACAAGTTTTGTTAATCTTTTTTTAATAAAAGACAACTTTAAGTTTTCCTGGAATTTTACTGCCCTGTGAGGACTAAAGTTTTGCACCTTATGTATTCAATCCTGAATTCGTTCAACAAGTGTTTTTTGTGCAAATGCTGAAATGATCGTCACCAACACGGTGCTCACCTTCCCAAGGGTGTCAGACACATTATGGAAAATATTTTGTTTTGATTTTCTCACATATTGGAATCCCCGAGTCACTGAGAGGGCAATATGATGCTGGTAAGCAGCTTTGGGATCCATTTGGTTAAGGTTTGCAGCCTAAAAGTAAACCACTTGCTGTTTAAAGTGGTAGAGAAATTCATGTGTGAACATCTGTGTGTCCACAAAGTTCTCTGTCTCTGAGATTTCTTTATTTTTCTGTTGCTTATCGCTTTGATGGATGGAGGAAATTAAAAATCCTAGAGCTGAGAACCCATTGTTTCTCCACCTTAACAGAGGCGTAGAAATCCATTTTTGTTATGTTTTTAGGAAAAGGAATTACCGTGAAGATACTGTAAAGTTCATACCAATCCAGGACCCGCTCTGTTACATAAAGTGTTCTCTCAATGCCTTTTGCACTGGGACAATCTTCACCGTAGTCAACGCCAGGACTTCTAACTCTAAAAGTATGTGAAGAAGTCTTTTCTGGTAGCAAATTATAGACCTGCAACATTGAGAGAACAAAAATCTTTTTCTTCTGAACAAATTTTAAAATGTGATAATCAAACACTGCATGTTCTCACTCATAGGTGGGTGTTAACAATGAGAACACATGGACACAGGGAGGGGAGCACCACACCCTGCGGTCTGTTGGGGGGCTTAGGGGAGGGACAGCAGGGCGTGAGGAGGTTGGGGAGGGATACTATGGGAAGAAATGCCAGATAAAGGTGACAGGGGGATGGAGGCAGCAAACCGCATTGCCGCGCGTGTACCTATGTAACAATCCTGCATGATCTGCCTATGTACCCCAGAATCTAAAGTACAATTTAAAAAATTTAAAAAAAAAAATAAAAAATGCCTGCTTAAGTTGAAAAAAAAAAAAGTGACAATGTCCCAGAGGGGATTTAAAAGATCATGGTATTTATTTAACATCTCATGCTTACATGATGAAAAGCAACACAGAGACTCATGGAGTGATGTCAAAAGTCACGGATCCTAATTCTTTTTGTTGTGCAGAAGAAAGTAATATAGAGAGAGCTGCAATGAATCAGTCAGAATCTCAAAATTCATTTTGGTTGAGTAAAAATAAAACTGTATTTCCCAGAAAAAAATGCCTACTTTTAAAAGAACATAGAAAATGTGGACATCACAGAGACATGTAATCAAAGAATAAAAGTCACTCACAGCCCCCCACCTAAAACAATCCCTATAAATACTTGTTTCATTTCCTTTTTCCATTTCATATCTCCAAGGCTGTACCAAGTTTTCTTTTTAGACTACTATGTTAGGACCAAGTTTAACTTAAGAAAAATTGAGGTGCAGGGACAACGGAGAAATAATTCAATTCCATTTTGCTTTTGCCTGGAGCCTGGTGTAAGGCCACCTGCTCGGGTCTACAGTGTTCAGGCCATTGAACACACGTGCAGACCTTCTAATCTGGCTTCTGTCACCTGTCATCTGTGCTGCTGTAGTAACCTCTTAACTGTTCCTGTGCTTTCATTCTTGCTCACGTACTTTCAGCAGCAAACATGATCTTTTTAATAGATTTGTCTCAGCTGTCCACTCTCCTGCATCAATTTCCTCATTGATTCACTATTGCACTTACTATGAACTCCAAATTCCACACCAAGTAAACAGAGCTTGCCATGGTCTTCCCTGTTTTCCATCCTACCTGCAGCCTCTAGCATCCTCCCCTCTCACTGCTCCGTATTAGGTGATTACCTTTTCCTTTTCATTACACTCCAAATTCACTCTGACTCAAAACCTTTGGCATGCTGCTTCCGTTTATTGGTAAGTCTGCTTTGGACTCTCCACTATTCTCCAATACAAAAATTTTAAAATTGCTCAACTATTTCAAAAATTTCTCACCACCTTTATTCTTGATATCAATACTCTGTTTATTCTTTTTATAGTATTTATAAAAATCTGGAATTTTTATGTTTATATGTTTTTGTTGCTTGCTTGTTTTTATATCTCACAAGATTATAAAGCTGTATTGGTAAAAGACCAAATCTGGATTGTCCATCATTAGTAATCCTGCTCTCAAAACAATGTCCATCTTATAGTCAAGATGCAATAAGTATTTCTTTTTTTTTTTTTACATGCAATACTTTTATTTTAGACATGCAAGGAAAGCTATTTCAGAATCTACTAATGTAAAGCAAGCAGCTGTATACAGACAGCAAAAGAAGCAACATTTTGTTACAGCTTAGCACAAGGCATCCAACACAAACAGGCATGAGACAATGCATATTTATGTAGCACTAAAACCAGATGAATAACGTATTGTTGGGCAGGAGGAGGAATGGAGGGGAAAAATGAAAATGAAAGACCAATGTGTTTCAATGCTTCTAATGTAGGGTGCTAAATTTCCCATTTGACAGCACATCCAGGTGCTTCAAATGTAGCACATTACAGTGAGAATGTCAAGAATGGAAAATCTTATCTGTATACCTGCCTAATGCTAAGTGTGGTCAAAATACATGTTCATACATCTTCTTTCGGTGGTAAATCAGTTTGAACTTCTTGTGAAGTTATTTAATAACTTACTTAACTCAGGCTTTACGCTCTCTAGATATAAACAATGAATTGTTTTCCTTTTGTAATGAAATATGCTGCATGTTTTATTAAAAGAATATGCAATAGTTATCAATATTAAAGGTTTTAAAATTCAGAAATACGATGCCACAGTTAACAAAGCATTAAGTATTTAAACAAGGACTTAATATATTAGAATGCCATCACTGGTAAAATATAAGTATTTAGGTATTAAAACTGAATATTAGAATTTTTGAACTATATAAACTCAGCATTAATGCTTTGAAAGAGAAGAGTTACTGTTAAGCAACAGATACTGCAGAACAGACTTTTCAGACGTAGCTCTCTAATAAGTTCTTAAAGGGATTGTTTGATATTATATAGTACAAATGTGATTCAATAAATGTGGCACTACAAAATTTCCTAAGACTGAATGTTTTAACCTTAAGTATATAATAGCACAAATTAATTTGAGTTTCTTGTATTATTTTCACATTTACTTTTATGTGATACATTAGAGCACATTAGCTCATATAGATTGTAAGAAAATCACACAAAATAGTTTCTTTTTTTAACCTCAATATTTGAAGACCAAATTATACTATGTATTACGGTACTGCTCATTTTGACCTAGTACTTCAGCTATATTTTCTTTGGTAAATATTTTAATGCTTGTCATGTTTTCACCTTGTAAGATTAATCATAGGTGGTTCATTAATGATAATATGCATGTGTTTAAAATTTAATATTACTCAAAACACTTCTAGGTCATATTTTATCAAGATGAGATTAAATCAGTTTCAGAGAGGAATGAGCTGTATCAAGATCACATATAGAATGAAAATAAAACAGAAAAGTTTGGAATGTGAACAGGAAAAAAATACAATCATAAAATACTAGTTCTGAAATATTCTGCTATAATTATACAAGATAATAAATCACCATGCTGAGGATATTTTCTTTTATATGTATATCAGCATTCTATTTCCTCTGTGAAATTCTGCATACTCCATGGGTAGTCATTTAGTACACAGGGACATTAAAATATTCATGACGTGGCTCCTGCAGTAGATCGGCCTGCTCAATTGCTTTAAGGACATTTTTCCCGGATGTTTCCTGAACTTCCCCTCCCAAAAGAAACTCATCCAAACTAAAATAAGCCTTCTCAAAATTAAAGATGATATCTAGTTCACAGACACTGCCAAAATACTTGTCAAGTAATTCCACAAAACGATGAATTATTTCGAGGGTAATTAGTTCATTGTCCTGATCCTCAATAGCACAGCAAAAATACAGACTAGCCTATCCTTTGTAAACAAGCTTCAGACCTCGCCACTCAAGGAAGCTGCACATTTTAGGTTTCCGCGCTAAAACGGTCTGAACAAATTCTGCGGTGATCTTTTTCTTGTCTGTGTCTGATAGTGGGACATACCATTTTTGCAGTCGAAGCTTTCCCGGACGATTAAAAAGCAATATAGGGCTGGGCGCGGTGGCTCACGCCTGTAATCCCAGCACTTTGGGAGGCCGAGGCGGGTGGATCACGAGGTCAAGAAATCGAGACCATCTTGGCCAAAAATGGTGAAACCCTGTCTCTACTAAAAATACAAAAAATTAGCTGGGCATGGTGGTGCGTGCCTGTAATCCCAGCTACTCAGGAGGCTGAGGCAGGAGAATTGGCTGAACCCAGGAGGCGGAGGTTGCGGTGAGCCGAGATCGCGCCATTGCACTCCAGCCTGGGTAACAAGAGCGAAACTCGTCTGGGGGTGTGGGGGTGTGGGGGTGGGGGGGAGGAAAAAAAAAAAAAGCAACATAAACTGCGTGGCAGCCGCGGGCCACAGGCGTGGCGGGGTTTGGCCGGCCGGCCTTGCGGAGGAGGAAAAGTCGTGGTGCTGGAGGAGAGGACCTGGCTCGCAATAAATATTTCTTAAGTAAATAAGTGAACCAGGAAGCCACTAAAATATAGGGCTGTTCTGAAAGTGCTTCATTGCAAGAGACGTTTTTAAAGACAAGATTGAATGGAAATTCTCTTCTGTCCACACTTAAAACCAGTGAGTCAGTGCCTGGATTTTCAGAAAAGTCTAAAAAATTTTGCATAATTACTTGAAGTTATATTAGAGGTGGGTTGGGAAGCGGACTTAAAAGAAAAGAAATTAGAATCAAATTCCTCCTTTAAAATGTATTGTTTTTATCATCAGTGCGTTATAGCTGCCTTATTTCTCAAGTGGAATAAGGTCCTATGCTCAGGGAATGTTTATTATTGGAAAATTTAACCTCCCAGCGTGTTATTTTGTTCACGTTTCTGTGGAAAGGCTAACCTTATTTTTAACATATTGTAGTTGTGTTGTCTTCATTCATAATATCAAAGTAATAATACCCATCTAAAATAATTATTATTCACTTACTCATTAAAAAAATGTGTTGATAATCTGATGCACATAAGATTCTCTGTGGGCAAGATAAATAGAGTCAAGATCTATCAGTATGCTGTCTTCAAGAGACCCATCTCATGTGCAAAGACACACATATGCTCAAAATAAAGGGATGGTGGAAAATTTACCAACCGTATAGAAAACAGAAAAAAGCAGAGGTCGCAATCCTAGCTTCTTTTCTTTCTTTTTTTTTGAGATGGAGTTTTCACTCTTGTTGCTCAGGCTGGAGTGCAATGGTGTGACCTCAGCTCACTGCAACCTCTGCATTCTGGGATGAAGAGATTCTCCTGCCTCAGCCTCCCATGTAGCTGATATTACAGGCATGTACCACCATGCCCTGCTAATTCTGTATTTTTAGTAGAGATGGGGTTTCTCTATGTTGGTCAGGCTGGTCTTGAACTACTGACCTCAGGTAATTCACCCACCTTGGGCTCCCAAAGTAACTCTGGAAGTGAGCCACCATACCAGGCCCCTAGTTTCTGACAAAACAAACTTCAAACCAAAAAAGATGAAAAAAGACAAAGAAGGGCATTACATAATGGCAAAGGGCTCAATGCAACAAGAAGAACTAACTATCTTAAATATATATGCACCCAGTACAGAAGCACCCAGATTCATAAAGCAAGTTCTTAGAGAATTACAAGGAGACTTAGTCTCCCACACAATAATAGTGGGAGATTTTAACACTCCACTGACAATATTAGGCAGTTCATCAAGACACAAAATCAACAAAGATATTCAGGACCTGAACTAAGCTCTGGATCAAGTGGATAGATATCTCTGGAACTCTCTATCCAAATATATATATATATATGAAATTTCAGTTCTTTTGCATTTGTTGAGGAGTGTTTTAATACCAATTATGTGATCAGTTTTAGAGAAAGTGTTATGTGGTGATAAGAAGAATATATATATAAAATATATATTTTACATAAAATATTATATATAATATATAATAATTATAATTACATATAACATATAAACATAACATAATATATAATGTATTATATAATATATTGTATAACATATAATATATATTTAATAATACAATACACAATTATATAATATATAATTATATAATACATAAATATATAATATATAATTATGTCATATAAAAATATTTTTGTATTATATATAATATATAATCATTATGCAATATATATTCTTCTCATTACCACATAGCACTTTCTCTAAAATTGATCACATAATTGGAAGTAAAACACACTTCAGCAAATTCGAAAGAACTGAAATTGTAACAATCAGTCTGTCAGACCACAATGCAATCAAATTAGAACTCAAGATTAAGAAACTCGCTCAAAACCACACAACGTGGAAATTGAATAACCTGCTCCTGAATGACTCTTGGGTAAATAATGAAATTAAGGCAGAAATCAAGAAGTTCTTTGAGACTAATAAGAACAAAGAGACAACATACCAGAATCTCTCGGATGCAGCTGAAGCAGTGTTAAGAGGGAAATTTGTAACATTAAATGCCCATATCAAAAAGCTAGAGAGATCTCAAATCAGCAACGTAACATCACAACTGAAGGAACAAGAGAACCAAGAGCAAACAAACCCCAATGCTAGCAGAAGATAAGAAATAACAAAGTTCAGAGATGAACTGAGGGAGATGGAGACACAAAAACCCTTCAAAAAAAATCAATGAATCCACCACCAACCCCACAGAAATGCAAACAACCAGTAGAGAATACCATAAACACCTCTGCGCACATAAACATAAAAACTGGAAGAAATGGATAAATTCCTGGACACATACACCCTCCCAAGACTGAACCAGGAAGAAGTTGAATCCCTGAATAAACCAATAATGATTTCAGAAACTGAGGCATTAACAAAATCCTACCAACCAAAATTCCAGGACTAGACAAATTTATAGATGATTGTTACCAGAGGTACAAAGAAGAGCTGATACCACTTCTAATGAAACTATTCCAACATACTGAAAAGGTGGGGCTCCTCCCTAATTCATTTTATGAGACCAGCATTATCCTGATACCAAAACCTGGCAAGGATACAACAAAAAAAGAAAACTTCAAGCCAACATCCCTGATGTACATCGAAGCAAAAATCCTCAATAAAATGCTGGCAAACTGAATCCAGCAGCACATCAAAAGCTTATCCACCACAATTATGTTGGCTTCACCCCTGAGATGCAAGGTTGGTTTAACATATGCAAATCAAGAAACGCAATTCATCACATAAACAGAACTAAAGACAGTCACATGATTATCTCAATAGACTCAGAAATAGCCTAAAATAAAATTGAATATCCCTTTGCGTTAAAAATTCTCAATGAACTAGGTATTGAAGGAATACACCTCAAAATAATAAGAGCCATTTATGACAAACCCACAGCCAATATCACACCAAATGGGCAAACGCAGGAAGCATTCCCACTTAAAACCTGCACAAGACAAGGATGCCCTCTCTCACTTCTCCTGCTGAACACAGTATTTGAATTTCTGAGCAGGGCAATCAGGCAGACGAAAGAAATAAAGCATATTCAAATAGGAAGAGAGGAAGTCATATTATCTTTGTTCACAGACTACCCTATCCTCTAGCTAGAAAACCCCATCATCTCTGCCCAAAAGCTTCTCAGGTTGATATGCAACTTCAGCAAAGCCTCAGACACAAATTCAATGTGCAAAATCACTAGCATTCATTCCTATATACCAACAATAGACAAGCAGAGCCAAATCGTGAACGAACTCCCATTCACAATTGCTACAAAGAGAATAAAATACCTAGAAATAGAGCTAACAAGGGAAGTGAAGAACCTCTTCAAGGAGAATTACAAACCACCACAAGAATTCATAGAGGACACAAACAAATGGAAAAACATTTCATGCTCATAAATAAGAAGAATCAATATCGTAAAACTGGCCATGCTGACCAAATAAATTTATAAATTTAATGCTATTCTTATTAAACTACCATTGACAACTTTCACAGAATTAGAAAAAGCTATTTAAAAAATTACATGGAACCAAAAGAGAGCCCAAATAGCCAAGACGATCCTAAGCCTAAAGAATAAAGATTGAGGCATCATGCTACCTGACTTCGAACTCTACTACAAGTCTACAGTGGCAAAAGCAGCGGGTCCTGGTACAAGAACAGACACAAACCAATGCAATAGAGAACTCAGAAATACGACCACACATCTACAGCCATCGGATTGAACTTTAACAAGTGTGAAAAAAGCAATGGGGAGGGGATTCCCTATTTAGTAAATGCTTCTGGGAGTGCTCGCTAGCCATATGCAGAAAATTGAAACAGGAATCCTTTCTTACACCTTATACAAAAATTAACCGAAGATAGATTAAAGACTTCAATGTAAAACCCCAAACTATAAAAATCCTAGAAGAAAATCTAGGCAGCACCATTTAGGACATAGGCATGAGCAAAGATTTTATGGCAAAATCTCCAAAAGCAGCAACAAAAAACTGACAAAATCAGACTTAATTAAACTAAAGAGCTTCTTCACAGCCAAAGAAACTCTCATCAGAGTGAACAGACAACCGACAGAGTGAGAGAAGATATTTGTAATTTATTCATTTGACAAAGACCAAACATCCAGCATCTACAAGGAACTTAAACAAATTTACAAGAAAACAACAACCTCCTTAAAAAGTGGGCAAAGGACATGTGCAGACAATTCTTAAAGAAGATATTCATGCCGCCAACAAACTTATGACAATCTTACTGATCATTAGAGAAATGCAAATCAAAACCACAATGAAACACCATCTCACACCAGCCAGAAAGTCAAGAAACAACAGATCCTGGTGAGGTTGGGGGGAAAAAGGCACACTTTTACAATGTTGGTGGGAGTGCGAATTAGTTCAACCATTGTAGAAGACAGTGTGGCGATTCCTCAAAGATCTAGAAGCAGAAATACCATTTGACTCACAATCTCATTACTGGGTAATATACCCAAAGGAATAGAAATCATTCTATTATAAATGTTCATCGAATCACTATTTACAATAGAGAAGAGATGGAATCAACCTAAATACCCATCAGTGATAGACTGGATAAAGAAAATGAGATACATATACTCCATGGAATACTATGCAGCCACAAAAAATGACATCATGTCCTTTGCAGGGACAAAGATGGACCTGGAAGCCATTATCCTCGGCAAACGAATGCAGGAATGGAATATCAAACACCGAATGTTCTCACTTGTAAGTGGGAGCTGAATGCTGAGAATACATGGACACGTGGCAGGCAACAACACACGCTGGGGCCTGTTGGGACGGGGGCAGGGGGAGGGAGAGCAGAGGAAGAACAGCTAATAGATGCTGGGCTTAATACCTAGGTGATGGATTGATCCGTGCAGCACACCTCCAACCATGTCAAACGTTTACCTATGTAACGAACCTGTACATCTGGCATATGTACCCCAGAACTCAAAAGCTAAAAAAACAAAAGATTCTGTGCCAGGCATGAAGGTTGTTTTGGCAAGCAAGATTGCTCCCTCAATGAGAATATAACAGAGAATACAATGAGATAAAATATGTAAATTACTTCAGGCAATTTATGCTCGTTTTGGAATTACACTATCCCTGTCACGCTGAAGAACTTCCTTTTTACAAACATTTTTGGATCTCCTAACTTCCAAAAATGATCTTATCATGTGAGCATTTCATGACCCCAAGGTTGAAATTGAACTCACAGATTGAGGTGAGAGTTCAGCTTCAGGCTTCATTAGCAGCACACTCTGGTCTACAGCACGGAGGGCACAGAGGGAGAAGGGGGTGGCTGTCACCTTCAGGCGGTTGTCTGAAGCTGGCAGGCTCTGAGCCGAGGAGAATCTCAAATTTACCTGTAAAGAGGACATGATTAAAGCAGACACTTTTATAATCATTATAGTAACCAGCCCTTCTTCTACTCCAGAGTAAGAGTAGGCTTTTCTATACTTCCTTTCTCTTTATTCATCTCAGAGCAGAATTAAGACGTGAACAGCTTAGGAACTATCAATTCAGTGTTTCTGGAAAATATGGAAATTTGATTCCAGTTAACTCAGGTTTTCCATTCCTTGTATAAATGGTGAACTATAAATTGACCTTAATCATATACAAATAGAACTCTGAATAGAACTGAAAACACACATCCAAGAAAGATGTATCCCTTGCTATATCACTGACCTACGTCTGTGCCGTGCTTTTGTGACGACTGGGTGACTGTGTGTAGTTTGCACAGTGATGTGAAAATCACATTCCACCCCTGGGACCAGCCAACAGGCACCTCCTCCAGTTGGCAGTCTCAGTCATGTGAAATTCTAAAGCAGGGTGGGACTGTTCATCATGACTGGGGATTTATTGGTCTATTTAAAAAGTTAAAGATCTAATATACAGCCTAAGAATTAATCAGTTCAAACAATTCAAAAAATGAATTTAAAAAAACAACAGAAAATGAATAAAAAACAACAGAAAATGTACAGAATTTTCCCAAAGATTTGATTCTACTTTGGCCAAAAAAATTAATTGGCAAGTGAATCTATTGATTCCTTCTGTGGATATAGATGTTTCTTGAGAAGAATCTGGGTTATATAGTTGTAACATCAGGTAACTTCCTTGATTCTTGGACTGAAAACTGATCTGTATTGGAATGAAATATCAGAATGTTTAGCTAAATTAGGTTGCTAAATTTCACTATGACAATCCAGCTTTGTGGTCTGCTGAATTAATATAGCAGTTTGGAATCGCTTATCGTAAGACATATATGAAAAATAAATCAATAATTATTTATCTTCAAGATGCAGTAGTAATCATCTTTCTAATTCAAAACCTTATGAAAACATTGCTTACAGAGAATCTCTTTGAAATATACTTGTTTTTATTTTTAGAAAATTTTAGTTCATTAAAATGTGTTAGTGACTGTCTATGTCAAAAGAACAAGTGATTTGGGATTATAATAAATTAGAAACACTATTAGCAAGAAGTGGACATTTTAGAACATAGAAAATGTTTTACTGATATGAAAACCGAAACAGAACTTTAAGGTATATTTCAAAGGTGTCTGTACCTCATATATTATATTAGTTGTTACCAATGTTATGCTTAATGAATAATTATATCCAGTTGGGTATAATAAACAATTCCAACTATTACATAATATTTAATGTGTGCACTGAATCTGTTGTTTTTAAGTGAGGAAATAAGTATATGAAGTTTGAATAGAAAGCTATTTTCTCTGTCTCAGCAAAGATTTAAAAAAATGTTAAATGTATCATTTTGCAGGGATTCGTGTCTGACTTGGGATCTTTCCTCACATCCTCTGTGCACTGTTTATTTGCTCATCGTCTCACCAAGATGTCTAAGTTGTAAGATGCTCAATTTGTAATTTTAACAGATCTACTGTTTTTTTTTTTTTTTTTAACTTTTGTGGTAGTCAACTTTCTTCTGAATCGTCTTATGAATCTTTGTTCATGTTATTTTTCATAGCTGATCTTCAATTCTGATCAATGATGATTTAAAAGGTATTTAACATGAAGTAACTGAATATAATGTCCATGGGCTTTTGCTTCTCTGGTGAAGTTTTATACTGTTGCACAGGGACTATCACATGTTTTGCAAAATCAGAAGTGTTTTTCAGACTGGAGTCTGGGGAGAGAATTACTTTTCTGCCAATTCTGTTTTACAATACTTTTCTAATTTCCAGTGTGTGAAGAGGATACTGATCCAGAAACTCCACTGCTAGAATGAATGAGGTGTGCTGAAAGCCGGAGCATAACATGGCCATTCCAAGATGAAACAACCAACTAACTACGCACCATTAACAGCAAAGGTGTTAAAGCATGAAGGAGTCTCTTCTCAGTGGCTATGAAACACACAGAAATCTAAACAGAACAGACACTACGTTTCTTGGACACACCGTCCAAGTTTAATAGCACTCTAGTAAAATGGAGTTAAAGGTTTACATCAGGATCCACTGTGTATGTTTCTTATCTCACTGTATATTTAAAACAAAATAATCTAAATATACGTCTTAGGGCAGAAATGTTCACTTGCTATAAATATATTTTGTTTTAATCTCCACAAAGCCCATGTTAAAAAAAAAAAACATCCTTCCAGGTATATTTGAAATAAGGTATCTGAACTAGGCAGCTCTTATCTGATTGTTAATGTTGTGATTATGCTGTTAGAGTAGTGAAAATCAGATAAACAGTACCAAATTCTGTTGGAATAAAGCATACTTATATCTCGGAGAGCTTCCCATGGCAGCTTTGAATTCCTTAAATAAAAAAGATGCCATTTGAACCTATGTTATAATTTTAGGCTATCATTATTTTTTAATTTTATTTTTATTTTTTGGAGATGGAGTCTTTCTTTGTTGCCCAGGCTGGAGGGCAGTGGTGTGATCTTGGCTCACTGCAACCTGCCTCCCAGGTTCAGCTATTCTCCTGTCTCAGCATCCTGAGTAGCTGGGATTACAGGTGCGTGCCAGTATGCCCAGCTAATTTTTTTGTATTTTTCTGTAGAGACAGAGTTTCACCATGTTGGCCAGGCTAGACTCAAACTCCTGACCTCATGATCTGCCCGCCTTGGCCTCCCAAAGTGCTGGGACTACAGGCATGAGCCACCACACCCATCCAAAAATATTAGTAACAAAACATTAAAAAATTAAAACTATTAAAGGTTTATAGATTACTTGATTTTGAAATCCATGTGAATTTTATAACAAAACAAGAGACTTAAAAATTGTGTTTGCGGTTGCCTGTTTCAGATGTCAGCACTAGGCTTCTCAGTATGACATCACTCTGCCATTAGAGGTAGTTGGGAAGAATGTTTTGGGAGCGCTGTATGTCTATTTGTCTTATTTCTTTCTTTTCCACACATCACAATGGGAGAAGAATAAAAGGACTAGTCTTAAACAAAACAACCCACCTTGTTGGCAAAACAGTTTTCAACCTCAAACTCATCAGCGTCTGCGACAATCTCTCCGTTAGGTAAAACGGTGTAAACAAGCAGATGGGCCCTGGGAGCAAGGACCGATTCTACTTGAAAGGAGAAGGAAAACACTCCTTCCACTGGAGGATTTAGAAAGAAGAACAAGTCCAGAATAATACATTAGGAACAGAATTATCAATTTTTTGTTTTAAAAAAAGGCATTTCCAACTATGGACTTTATTTACATTTGGAGCACACTGAAGTAAGAAAAGACTTGCATTTATGCCACTGTGCAGGAAGTAGTGTTCAATGAATATACGCTGAGCTAATGACATTTTCCCTTAAAGATAGAGGTTTAATTGTCCATTTCCTCTATTTCTAAATTTAAAAATATTATTTAGAAAGCGGTCGAGAGAGAAGAAAGAGAACTTCTATAACACTTTTGGTTATAATGTTTGTGTATGTGAGGGCAATACAAATAATGCAACAGTCTTTTCCTTCTTATAATACAGCAGGGATACAGACACAGATCAAACACAAAGCCTTGTGAGCCTTTGATTTTTAGAATAGAATTCTGTGTGTTCATCTTAGTGGTTGTCCTCTGTGTGAACTCCACAGTGCTTATGTAACATTCCCCTTGAGTTTTTTCATAAATGTTCTAAGTTTGATCTTTGTAGCATAAAATTATTCTCTAAAAATTGTACCCTTCCTATATATATGAAGATTTGAAGACAGCTTTCATGAAAATACAGAGAAACAGCAGAGTCAAAATCAATCTGAAACAGTAAGATGAAAGCCAAATGAACGTGGAATTCTGGAGCAGGGTTAGACATAGGCAGGAGTTAATTTTATTAGGCAGCTGCAATAGTTATTACACTAGAGTACTTAAGATTTTCATTGAGTTTCCTAAATCTCAAAGACAAAGTCAAAACAACCACTTACATAGCTGTCATTAAATAAAATGAAGTATATTTTTCCTTAAAGAGAGAGCCACTTCAGCCGGGTGCGGTATCTCAGGCCTGTAATCCCAGCACCTTGGAAGGCTGAGGTGGGTGGATCACCTGAGGTCAGAAGTTTGAGGCCAGCCTAACCAACATGGTGAAACCTTGCCTCTACTAAACATACAAAATTAGCTGGGTGTCAGGTTGCATGCCTGTAATCTCAGCTACGTGGGAGGCTGAGGCAGGAGAATCACTTGAACCCAAGAGGCATACATTGAGGTGAGCTGAGATCACACCATTGCACTCCAGCATGGGCAACAAGAGTGAAATTCTGTCTCACATACACACGCAAAAGAGAGAGAGAGAGACACTTCTCCCCACCTCACCACGTTAGTATTCAGTCCATACAGGATTTAAACTCTACTGCAGAAACTTGAAGACACTGCTTTGTGAGGCAGTTTATTTTTCATATGTTATGAGAGACAACCTTACCTGCTCTAAAAAAATTAATATAATGTTCAATAACATAAAGTCAAGGATTAAGTGGAAATTTAGAGTCAATGTTTCATATTTGAATGAATGTATTTAAACGTTATGCTTTATTTCAAGCAGAAAGAAAACAACCAGTAAGAGATTATATAGGTCTAAGAGATGTTATAGACCTCAGAAGAAGATGTGGTGAGTGGGGTTTCAGAGTGTGGGTTTCACACCCTTATCATGACCTTAGAAGCCTCTTGCTGGCTCAAAAAGACTGGGAGAAAGTCTATGAAAAAAAAAGTTTTCATCTAGACGTAGAGTTACAGGAAATTTATTTAGAGGCTAATGTGGAGCTCAAAAAAATTACAAACATTCATATTTTAAAATCAAACTGAAATTCATGATTAATTAAAAGAGTATTTTAATCAAACTTTACATGACTAAAGGAAAAGTTGTAAATAACTGAGTTAGGTGACTAATTAAAAATCAATTTTTATTTGAAAACACGTACAGGATATTAGGGTGTAAGTTTTGCTTGATGCTGCATTGAACTACTTAAATCGAAAGAGGCAACGGGGAGCTGGAGAAATAGAATGACTGAGAGCAGAGTCTTCTCGGCGTAGGCTTCTACTAAGTTGCGCAAGTTGAGATTCTTTTTAGGTATCAACTTTCACACAAAATAAAGTGTACGGAAAACTCTGGGGTTTTATTTAGCTCTTGTATTAAGAGCATTTAAGGGAAATGGGATTTGTTATAACTTGTCAGTGTTTAGGTGCTTAAACAGAGGCAGCACCTCGTTATCTCTACTCGACTGTGGGCATCTTGAGGGCATACAGCATGCTTTATTAACACTGTTATCCAAAATTCCTATTACAGAGATGCACTAAGACAGGAACGTATACTCCCTTTGGATATAATTCTGATGGATTTTTTTCCCCACAATTTGGCTCTGGTAAATTGTAAACCAAGAGATAACTTATACTTGATTTATGAATTCATTAAAAATATTTATTATCTACCCACTGTGTGCCAAGAGCTAATACAAGAAATGATGTTTCAGAGTTAAAATATAAAACATATGCCAAATCTTAAATTTATATTCTTCACTTTTTCCTGGATATAGTAACTGACCCTGGAGGTACGGGTGTTTTGATCTTTGTAAATGAGCTCTGTTAATAAAAGTTGCTTCAGTCAAATGATAGTTCATAAATATTCAATTTTGTTTTAAATTTTAAAACAAACTAACAAAAAGAAGTCTATTATTTCCTTATGAGATTTAATGCGGGGACAACAGGTAACAAGTAAATAGGCCAGCTGTACTTAACTTTTGTTAAAAAAAATTTTTTACTTATCTTTCTATGAAATGTTAAACATTCTTCCCAGGATAACAGAAATTAATAAGATATTTATGATTCAAGGGAATAAAGAAGAAAAGGGTGCTCTAAGACAGAGAAATTCTATTACGCCAGTTGATCTCAGTGACATTCAGAGAATATTTAACAGCAGCAGAATATGTATTCTAACATTTACCAAGATAGACCATATTTTCTGAGCTATAAAATGTCTCCATAAATTTCAAAGAAGTAAAGTCATACAGTCATAATGGCATTAAATCAGAAATCAGTAACAGAAAGATCCCTAAAATGTCTCCATTTAGAAACTAAATGACACAGTTCTGAATAATTCATAGTCCCAAGAAGAAATCAAAAAGGAAAGTAGAAAACGTTTTAAATTGATTCAAAATTAAAGCATCACTTGTAAATGTTGTGGGACGCAACCAAAGCATTATTAACAGAAAATGTGTAACACTAAACACTAGTATTAGAGAAGAAGAAAGTTCTCAATCAATGACCCCAGCATCCTCATGAAGAAAGTATAAAAAGAAGACTAAATTAAAATCAATCTTTAATTGATAAAGATCAGTGAATACCACTGACACGAAAATAAAAAAGAAAGAAAATCAATTAAACCAAAAACTAGCTGTTTGAAATTACAATTGAGAAGCTTTTAGCCAAACTGATCAAGAAAAGACATAAATTATAAGTATCTTGAATAAAAGAGGTGCTGTCACTATAGAAATTACCGATATTTTAAAACTATAAAAGAATGTTATGGATTATTTTATGTCAATAAATTAAACAGTTTAGAAAAATAGACAAGATTTTAAATGACGTATACAACCAAAAATTTACTAAAGTAGCAGCAAACTTAAATTGCACTTAATTAAAGAAAATAAATTTGTATTTAAAACCTTCTCACAAAGAAGATTCTATGTCCAGATGGCTTCACTGGTAAAGTCAACAAAATATTTAAGAAAAAGAAATACCAAATGTTAATGAATTTAGATATTTAGGGAGAAGCATTTAAAGAAAAGTGTTAAAGGGTTAGTCTGACTCCTTCTTCCTGTTTATAATAAAACTGGAAAGCAAAAACTTAAATTGAATGAGGAATTAGTCATCAAAAATGAACTAGGACTTGATAATTTGGAAATTTCTCAGCTTATCTAGAATCAGTAAAATTAAGACATTCACTGTTAGGAAATTGTGCTCTAGAAAAAAAGCTATGATGTGACTGGACAATTGTTTGCTAAAGATTTGCTTTGCAGAAAAACAAAAATGTCAGAGTAATTTAGTCACAGAATAGGGCTATTTGAAAATATTAAGTGCATCACTCTTAGATACCCTTACTCATCTCTGCAAAAGCCAAAATGGGAGATAGAATGATCCAGCCAAAATGGGAGATAGAAGAAGATTTTTGTTTAACAGAATAATTCTCTGTGACACACAGGAGACCCACCTGGTTCTTGAAAAATTTATACTAACAGAAACACTGTCAGCTTCAGTTAAAAGGGACAGAGAGAGCATAGAATAAAAGAAGAATGTCCTCTCGTATTATGCAAGAAGGAAACAAGGTCTGATAAAACAATTCAGCTGCAAATACATTCTTCATGAAAAAGGGTGAATGATTCCAAGAGTGGATCCTGGATCCCAGAGGATAGAGACATGAACTAAAGAGGATTATTCCCAGGTGTTGAAACCATGTTGTTTTCCCAGCCAGATTTCAGCACTTCTTGGGACTAACGACTCTTTTTGCCCTGTGATGGATTATGTCCAGGGCCTCATTAACATCTAATTTAGATGATTGAGATGATGAGATTTGGATATTTTGAGCTGATGAGACTGTGAGCTTTTAATATTGTGTTAATGGTTTAATGGATTGAGGCTCTAGGGATGATGGGTAGAGCGAATGTACTTTGCATGAGGGACGAATGTGAAATCTCGGGCCAATCAGAAGATAGTGGTAAATAGAATAATGGCCCCTGAAGATATTCAATTTCCAAAACTTGGGCATATGTTACTTTGGATGGCAAAAGGGCCTTTGCAGAAATGATTAAATTAAGGATCTTGAGGTGTGACGGTTAGTCTGGATTATCCAGGTGGGCCCAATGTAATCACAAGGGTCTTTCTAGGAGGAAGACAGAAAGGTGAGAGAGATTTGAAGATGGTATGTAGCTGAATTTGAAGATAAAGAAAGGAACCACAAGCCAAAGAATGCAAGAGGTTTTTAGAAGCTGGAAAAGGCAAAAACAGGCTCCTATCAAGCTCCAGCAGGAATGCAGTCGTGACACCTTGAGTTTAGCCTAGTGAGATTTCTGACCTCCAGAACTAGAAGACAGAAGCGATGTTTTAAGACACTAAAATGAAGAACTAGAAGTACTGTTTTAAGCCTGTAAATCTGTGATGATCAGTCACAGTAGTAATGGGAAATGAATACAGAAGCACAAGAAGTAAACTTCTCCTGTGGTTATTTTCCGTAGTTGTTCGGTTATTTTCTGCCTTTTAAAGACATTTACTTATAAAATGAATATATATTAGTTTAGGAATACAATTTAAAATGTAGGAATGCTATAAAAGAAGAAAAAAATCTTAACTGGGCTAAAGTGAACCCAGTATATCCTCCTATGACATCAGCTTCTTCATCTTTGGATGAAGAGGTTGGGGACTGTTCCTTCTAATGTGAAAATAGCTCCAGATTGCTAACTTGTTCAGAATTTGACAAGGTGATACAGGAAAGAAAAACGAAATATCAAAAATACTTACTGTTTCCTTGTTCAATGGATAACACATGGATTCCTGATTGGGCGATGCTGCCTCTTGCTTTGATCTGAAGACAGAGGGAAATATGTTCTTTATTGTTTTAAAAAATACATTTTAACCTAACTTTAAAACAGTCATGATATATTGATGAACCATAATTTTATTACCCCAACCTATTTTGCTCACTAAACTTCCTTTTCAATATCTTCATTTATGTGCCTTTACCTACTTTAAATAAAAAATATATAATTTTATAATGTTTTACCATTTAAAATTTTTCACTCCTAATAAATGTATTATATGTAATTATGTAAACAAAATTTATGCACTTTTTAAACAAACATTTCAAACATCTACCTTATGCAAATATATAGTGAAGGCAGACATAAAGTATACATAAATATTCTCTATTATTGCCTCTATTTTTAAAAAACTAAATATATTGAGCATTCTCTATATGCCAGAAACTTAAGTAATTTAATATTAATTTGTTTAATTTACACTATAATTCCATGAAGTAGGTATTAATATTATCTACAGGACTAAGTTGAGATGACTGACATTTCTCTTTCCAGATGAGATTAGTAAACTATCCAAGGTCATATATCTAGGAAACAATAAACCTAGACAATTCAAATTTATTGTTAATTTTTCTATTTTTCATGGAATTAAGAAAATGTTATTGATAATTAATGCACTTATACAGAATTTCCTATATTTAACTTTTTCTTCTTAAAATGACTTAGTTGAGTTTTAGCCTTGGACATTTTAAATTTTGGGGCATTCATAGGAATATTGGCCTCAAACGTATCACTCCAACTTACAGTCTGCCTGCGAATGTACATTTTCTCTGCAATGACACCAGTCATGAGCTTTGTAAAATAATTAGAATTGAATATTTTTCCAGAAACTTGTTTATAAGTTGTGTTTCCTTTTGAATTAGTTCATGGTTCCTAGGCTTTGGTTATTTATCTACTGAGTTCTAAGAAAAATTTTTCTCTTGGACTAAAATTATTTTATCCTAGGCTCTTTCCTCTCCTGCTCAATGAGTTGCCGTTGGGACTATGGAAGGAAAAATTCTGAAAGTTTCAGTGGTGACCAGAGCATAGAGAAGACATTAAAGCACTCATACTTGTTAGGAAGTAACTTCTCTTCAGGCATAAAACAACAAAAAATGTATTATTGATATCTGGTAAATGGCATTACTTAGACAGGAACCCAGCAATTTTGGAGTCTACACAGTCAAAAAGAGTTACAGTGGCTCTTATTCTTACCAAATAGTAGAAGGTGAATTCTTTTTCATCCTTGAGAATCTGTTTATTCAGGAGGTAATGTGCTTGAATCTCCTGGGTTTGTCCACAGGTCAAAGTACCGATAATAGGTTTAAGGTGGATATAACTGTTGCTTGGGGAAACAAAATGCTTTGCAACATAGTGTGTTTGTGTATGAAATTCTTGAACCCACCGGTTATCAAAACGATTGTCATTATCTTTGTATTTGACCTAATGGAAGGAAGAATAAATAAGCTGTTTTATATATAAATATATATATGTACATACATAAAGCAATATAATAAAGCCGTATCAGAAGCTGCTTTCTCAAATACAGTGTAATCTATAAACTGCTTCTCCTTGAGGTCACTTAAGCTTATGCTATACTGGTTTAGCAGATGTTTTTCATTCACAAACAAGGTCAATTACTTTTCTTAGCACCCTGTAGCTGCAACGTGCATAAGGAGAACATTTGAACATTCAACTCAAAACGAAAATAGTAGTATGCCAAAGAAACCAAGCAAGATCTAACTTGTACTGGAATCATAAAAATATTTAATTTTTCAAGGGAATATCAAGATGATATATTCAATGTCTCTTGAGGCTAAATCATATTGTCAACAGAGTTTACACACAAGTAAAAGGTTTCTGACAGATATTTCTCTTTTTTATAATTTAGATCTCCACATGGCTTAATTTACATTTTACTCATTATCACTTTTAAAAAAAAATTCCTGAAGTTCACATGCTTCTCAAATATCTTTAATTCTAACCACAGTCATTTCTGTCTTTGATCCCAGATGCCCCTTTCCACTTACTGAAACTGTAATAGAAGGTGACGTGCAGCTGGTGGTGTCAAGGGATATGTTCAGTAAACCATGCTCATCAGTAGTTGCACTGGAATGGTATCCAGCTTCCTCCACACTAACAAATATAGTTTTGTTGGGGATTGGCTGATGCTTTTCATTGACTAGAAGAACCTAGAAATATAAAGTCATAGCTGGTTAAAGTGTCATATGGCAATAACGTCTTCCACTCCGTCATGTTTACCTCCAGGTCACTCCCTATTATTTACCAGCAGTCTTAGAATTTGAAAACAAAACTTGTTTTCTGAGCTCTATACTTTCGTTTTTCTTTTTAATACTACTTCTTAAAAATTATTTTGAGCCGGGCGCGGTGGCTCAAGCCTGTAATCCCAGCACTTTGGGAGGCTGAGGCGAGTGGAACATGAGGTCAAGAGATCGAGACCATCCTGGTCAACATGGTGAAACCCCGTCTCTACTAAAAAAAATACAAAAAATTAGCTGGGCATGGTGGCACGTGCCTGTCATCCCAGCTACTCGGGAGGCTGAGGCAGGAGAATTGCCTGAACCCAGGAGGCGGAGGTTGTGGTGAGCCGAGTTCGCGCCATTGCACTCCAGCCTGGGTAACAAGAGTGAAACTCCATCTCAAAAAAAAAAAAAAAAAAAAAAAAGAAATCACGTTAAAAATTTTTTTGAAAGAAAAATGGCAGTTTATTTTCTATTATTATTCTAAATTCACAAATCATATACATTTCTGGGGCACAATATGATGTTTTGATACATATATATATACAATGTGGAATGATTTAATAGACTAATATATATCACCTCATCATTTTTTCAAATGAGACATTTGTAATTTATTTATTATCTTGAAATATACAACATATTATTACTGACTATAATCATCCTGTTATGTGACAGATCTCAAAATCTTGAATCGTTTTCTTGGATATCTCATGGGCACTCAAATTGAGAAAATCCAAAAGTGGGATCATCACACTATCATCTCAGACTTTCTCCATCTCTCTTTCAGTACATGGTTCATCCATCTGTTAGATAATTGATGCAGGAATACTGAGGAGCTGGGTTTTTTTAATGAGTCATTTTCCTCTTTCACTGTTTATTTCCAACTCATTGTCAAGTCCTATCTCTTTTCCACATCTCCCATCAGTACATGTTAACTCTGTGTACCTCTCTCCAAACCTGTTGCTACCATTCTAGTTAAACCACGATCTTTTTCCCATCTGCTTTCCAGTAGCTTTCTATTTAACCTTCTGCATTTCCTTGCTGCTTCATTCTTGTCTGAACCATTCCTTACAGCCTGAACTAACCTGATCGTGTTACTCTGTTTCTTAAAACCATCAGTCACTTCTCAATCCAAAATTCTTACCATATCTTAAAAGGCCTTAATAACTGTCCGTGCTTGCCTGTGATTATTCAGTCAATTCGGTCACGTTTTTAACCTTAGCGGTCATGACACTGGCTGCTTTTTAGTTCTTTGCTCTTGATAAACTGTTTCACACCTAGAGCCTTTGGCTTTCTCCCTTTTATCTGACACTTCTGGCCATGTCATACTTATCCTTCAAGTAATCAGTTCTTCTCATGATCTTCTCTCTACCTGAAATGGCTATACGAATCTATGTCTGTATATTTAGTAATTTCTTGATAATTTAATATGAAATACTAGGATAAATGAAGAAAATATAAAATCCAAGTATAAAATATCAGCTATACAATTCAAAATATAACCTGAAGCATTTGCTCATGAATTGTTAATTGAAAGATTAGTTACTACGAAAGACAGTTTAAAATACCTAGAAATCTTGCATCTCTTATATGAAAGAAAATTGATAGTTTACTAAATGATTGGCTCCAAAATGTGTCAATGTTGATATCTATTTTAAACTTTAAAATGAAAACTGCTTTAAAAAGTACCAGTAATGAAACATTCAATCATTTAGATGAATGTGTTTGAATTCTTCCTGTAAAAATTATGTTACAAAATCATTGTTTATAAAGAGACAGAGTATGCAGCCGAACTACACAAATGTATAACAGAGGTATGCGAGGAAGTTAATGAAACATGCTTTGTTTTTCTGAATTTTGCAATTACATTTGCTTTTAAAATTATAATTTGTGTACTTTTTTCTATTTGATATATTATTTGTTAAAGTAAATTTTGATTTTGTGATTTAAAACTTATTTTCTTAAAAACCTCATGCCCCAAACTGTAATCATGTTAAAAATATTTTTTTTTTACCTGTCCATACCAGGGGAGTCCACGTCTGTAGTTTGAATTTGCTTTAGTAAATTTCAGTGTGCTTAAGTTATTTGTGATTCTACATGATCCATACCCAGTTAATTCCAGCCCTGAAAAAGAAATGAAGTTGAACCATTCTGTGTATTAAAAACGCTCCTCCTACTTCCTCCCCCGCCTCACGTCATCGTAGCAAAATACCATCCACATTCTCTTTTCTTTACTCTTCCCAGAGTTTCCCACACTTACAAGCTATTTGACTAGCAACTTGACATCAGCCTCACCTGCACATGAAACAGGACTGGTACCCATAATCCCCAATTCCCCTGGTTTTCCACCCATGTTAGTGATTTTCTCATCCCCTCTATGATCTTCCTCCATCTTGGTTTCCTCCTCTCTCACATCCCTGCTCTCCCTCCACAACTTTCTGTACATGGTTGGATGCTTCACAATCACACTGGCCTAAAATGTGGTGGAATTTCTAACACAAACTTTGCATCCAGAAAGACTTGTCGTTTCACTGCATCACCCATCCAAAGGATGGTGGACATCTGGTGCTTTTCCCTTCCATGATGTATACTCTGCGTTTGTTCTCATCAGAAACACAGTGCCATCACACTCTTAAAAGATCCCTCACTTGCCCTCCATATTGAATTCTCATCTCAGACTTCACCACGGATGAACTCTCAGTAGTACTCCACACTAAGTATCACTGAAACTCTTCCTTTCAGTGGTTTCTAACAAAGTATCCTTTTTTTTTTTTTTTTTTTGGCCCCAGCTCTATGATTCTTATTTAATTATATTGATTTATTTGTTACTTTCTTTTTTTTTTTTTTTTTTTTTGAGACGGAGTTTTACTCTTATTACCCAGGCTGGAGTGCAATGGCACGATCTCGGCTCACCGCAACCTCCGCCTCCTGGGTTCAGGCAATTCTCCTGCCTCAGCCTCCCGAGTAGCTGGGATGACAGGCACGCGCCACCAGGCCCAGCTAATTTTTTGTATTTTTTTTAGTAGAGACGGGGTTTCACCATGTGGACCAGGATGGTCTCGATCTCTTGACCTCGTGATCCACCTGCCTCGGCCTCCCAAAGTGCTGGGATTACAGGCTTGAGCCACCGCGCCCGGCGATTTATTTGTTACTTTCTGTCTCTGAAATTCAGTTGTTTCTGTCCTTGGATACCTCTTTGTCCTGTCTCTATCCTACATTTAGCAGTGCTGAATGAGCTCACTCTGAGTATTTGCACTTACTCTTAGGAAGACACAGGCACAGTGAGGATGGGTTTAGATTCACACCTCTGGTCTTCATTTAACTCTGGCCCTCTTTTAAAATTATCAGCTAAAATTATTGCATTTTGATATTCCAAATTACGGTTAATTATCCTTAACACGTCTCATCCCAATAGTTCTTTTTCTTCAACTCAGTATCCTGGTTAATGGCATTTCCATTTCCCAGGCCCCGAATTTAGAATCTTTGGGGTCACCTTTGTTGACCTTCTGACGTACCACATTGTAGCACATTTTTCCATCTAGCCTATCCTCTTCAGATCTGCTAGACTTACTTTTTAAGAACATCAATTTATTCAGATTGTTCTTCTCAAATATATTGAAAGATATCCAAGCTTTTCAGAATAAATTTAAACTCTTTAGTGTATGATTTGCTTTCTTCACATCTTAGCACCAGCCTACATTTTCAGATTCTTCTGCGATCAAACACAGTTTTTGATGCTTATCACATTTTCCCCCTCCATCATTAATCTTTCAAAACATTACCTACCTATATACATCGGTTGAAATGCTATTTTATCTATAAGGTTTTCTTTGGACTCTAGAAGGTATGCTAGAATTAATTACCACTTTTCATATTCACTTGGCCCTCAATTTTGCATTTCTTGCAGAAATTTTATTGTGGCTATGTGTGCATGCACACACATCCTTAATTTCTGTGTTTAGATGCATAATTCCTTGAGGGCAGGCACCATGTTATTTTCATAACCTCCAGAAACTATAAAGTGCTTTACATGAAATGAAAGTTTGATAAATGGGTATCACATTAATAAACATTTAAAAATAATACAAACCAGTTCCCTCCTCTTTGACCTTGGCTTCCACTTCTATTTTCATGTCATACCCTTTTTGTTTCAGCTGAAATATTTCAGTTTTTAAGAGTTGCGTGAAACATCCTTCACTGTTTGCCTGAAGAGAAAGGAAGAGAATTCTTGGGTCTTCCAATTTGCTACTTAAAAAGTTAGCTGTCAAATTTATGAGAATTTTTCATTGGTCATAAAATTAAATGTAAGAAATGTTCTGACCATCCTTTCGGTGCTTATCTTTCCCCAGCCCAAGAATGACATAACGCTTCTTCATTCATCATTGATTTACTCATTATCAACCTTTGGCTTCTCCCCTCTCTTCTGAAAACTGACCCCATTTCTGCCATATTAAACTTTCTAGAGTTTCCAAATGTGCCGTGATATTCCATAATTCTACCTTCTTGCATATGCTGTCCCTCAAATGATAAGTTTCTTTCTCCCATTCTTACTTTAGCCAGCAGTTAGGCTCCTCAAAACTTAACTTAGACATAACATTCTGAGAAGGCGTTCATAACCACCATTACCTAAATATTGACTAAGGATTCCCATGTTTCGTTTTTTTGTTGTTTGAGACAGAGGCTGACTCCGTCACTCAGGCTAGAGTGCAGCGGACATGATCACGGTTCATTGCAGCCTCAACCTCCTGGGCTCAAGTGATCCTCCTACCTCAGCCTCGCGAGTAGCTGGGACAACAGGAATGTGCCACCACAGCTGGCTGATTTTTTATTTTTTACAGAGGCAGGGGGGTCTCACTATATTACACAGGTTGGTCTCAAACTCCTGGGCTCAAGCAGTCTTCCCACCTCAGCCTCTGAAAGTGCTGGGATTACAGGTGTAGGCCACTGCACCCCACAAGAATCGTTATGTTCTTAACTGTATATTCTCAGTATCTAGGACATTAACAGGAAGATATACGGTTATTAAATAGATGAATCCTTGCCATAAACAAGCTTTCAACCTAAACGTTGGGGTACATGTTTTAATAAAGATTTGTTTTCATAGGAAATTCTTTATTGCATAATAAAATATAATCATATTTAATTTATTTTTATATAGTTAGATGTCATGACTCACTTGAAGATAAAAGTCAATCCTAGTCTCCCTGATACATAACAGATTTGGGCAGCTAGATTCCTCCCATGGATCTTGCTTATCAGTGTCTGTCTCGGTGTTCATTATTATATTGGTTACTCTGGCCTCTCATTCATTTGCTCTCTGCAGCTTTGATAATGTTCTTTTCCATATCCTTGAGGTAAGAAGTGGGACTCAGCTTTGGAAGTGGGTCTCACACACTGGACCAAATTGAGAACTCACTAAAACAGGGATGCAGGAGAGGCTGCTTTCCATAAGACATGCCCATCAGTGTGCCAGGTCAGTTTACCATTACCATGGCAACACACGGAGGTAATGCCCTTTTCCATGGCAACGGCCTGACAACCCAGAAGTTACCACCTTTTTCCCAGAAATTTCTGCCTAATCTGCCTCTTAATTTCCATGTAACTAAAAGTGGGTATAAATGTGACTGCAGTACTCCCTTTGAGCTGCTACTGTGGGCACACTGCTGATGCAGTGGCCCTGGTGTGCAAGAGGCAGTGCCTCTGCTGCTGCTGTGCACTGCTGCCTCAATAAAAGTTTTTGTCTCTAACACCTCTGGCTTGCCCTTGAATTCTTTCCTGGGTGAAGAAAAGAGCCCTCTTGGGCTAAAACCCCCATTTGGGGGCTTGCCTGCCCTGGGTCACCCTTCCAGCGTCTGTGCATACTGCCACACCCTGGACTTTTACACACTCTGCCTCTGAAATCAGTAATTTTTGCCCCTTAAAAAAAATACACATTCTACTTTCAGCTGTTTCCCTTACTTATTCTTATTTCCCTTCTTCCTTATGTGCATTGGGCCTCCGATCTACTGTCCATCCAGGTCTCCCTCTCTTCAGCCTTAAGCTACGCTGGTTTAACGTTCATTCCTCCAGTGCGGTTCACGTTCCACAGCATTGCCGTTTGATTCTCCTGCTAGCCAAATTCTTACCACCTGCTGTAAGGCCGGGAGTTCGGACACGCCCATCTGCCTCCACGCTTGAAAATTAGAATATGTCAATCATTTAGCTCCGCCTTGGAAATCCCCTCTGCACTCGGCACCTAACCTCCATGGTCATCCCCTCTGCACTCAGCACTTAGCCTGCTCACAGGAAGTTCCACCTCCCTACCAATAGCAGCTCCCGCTGTCCACATCCTGCCTCCCCAAATCTAATCAAACGCCTTCACTCCCTATAAAAGCCCAGTCCCGCGAGGAAGCCGCGTGACTTTCCTGGCCCCTCTTCCCAGGACCGTAGACTCTCTCCCGGGAGCTGAATGAATCCGAGTTGGCGTCTGATTTTCTTGTGCTGGCCTCAGTCTCCTCGTTTTTTACTGGGCTCCTGTCTTCAAAGAATAAACTTTACACCTGCCACAGATATTTTTCTGTTATCTGTTTGATAAAAGCCAACTTTGGACCCTTCCATATTCGTCTATGCCCTTATGTCTGGCATTTTGACTGCTGTTGGAAGGAAATCACCAAACTGACCAAATAAATACCACTCTGTACCCCTGAGCCTAGCCCTCAAGGAAGCCCCTAACACTTCCAGGCAATCTTGGGGTTTTCCCCCTACTCCTCCGTTTTGCCTGATGGGTATTTCAACTTCTCTGTTGTATTGTAGGCACTCTTGTAATCCATGAGAAGAGAAAACCTTGATATCAGTGTCCCGAGGAGAGCAATTTCTGCATACCTGTTGACTGAATTCTTCGCAGATATCACATGAATAGTTATTGTTGCAGGTGGCTCGGAATGATGAATATTTTCTGCATACACTAAGTGTCACCAGACCAGGGACAGGCTCTCCGTATGTGTACCTACAAAAATAAGGTGGTCACGCAAAAAGCTGTTTAATACAAATAATACAGGTGTTTCTTCACATGATTTGATGCATTCATACACCCACCTTAAGCAATGGTATTGCCTCCGATATTATTTGCATTTTATAAACACTTATTCTGAGAGACTGTGTCTTAATTGTCTGTAACTCTAAGAAAAAGTACTGAAGTATCTTTCAGAAACAGCTCCAGATGGAAAATTACCAATTTACTTTTTCTCCGATCTTTCTTCCCTCTCAGTAGCAGTTTTACTATAAGATGGTCCTATTTCCCGCTCTCTCTGCTGTCAGACTATCCCGATCCTGATTCCAGCTTTGACGACACCTCCTATATTGTTTTAGGGCAACATATTAAGAATATGTAGAGAGCGTGTTTCTGAGTTCTCCTTGATTTATAAGTACTTTAAGAGGGTAAATGAGAAGGTAGATGGAAAAGCAGTAGCTATAAAACAAAAATGTTACATCATAATGAATCAGTTTAATTCTGCCTAATATGATCGAAGGATAACACAAAGCCATAACTAACTTGTTGTTTCTCAGAGACTGTTTTGTGGACCACCAGCATTGAAATGATCTGGGATACGTGCTGACATGCAGATTTCTGAGACTTTCGTCAGATGTATAACTGGAATCTTTGGACGTGGGGCCATGAAATCTGCATTTTAAGTAAGCGCACACCTGCACCCATAGATTCTGATGAATACTGACGTTTGAAACTATTGCCTTAGCCCAAATGGCGGGACAGATAAGGTTTAGGGCCAGTTCCCAAAGCTTCCCCTTTGTATAGTTTTTTTTCCCCTGAATTCCAGTAAGTGTTGATAAAGTCATAAATCATCTACTAAATTTCAGTTACTTTTGGAATCTTTAAATCTGGATCAAAAGGCTTTCTGTCTGATGAAAAAATTTAAAGCACTGAGTGTAGTGAGAAGGATGAAAACGTGTTGTTCATACTACTCCCAAAAGCAAGAGAGGACGTTGCTGTCTTGTGTGTGGAGGATGCTATGGTGCACTAAAAGGCAGTAAAGGGCACTCGAAGGAAGAAATAACTACAATATGTATTTTTAACTCTATCACATGCATCTAGGACTTGAGCCTAGCTTCCTCCCAATGATTTTCCATCTTTTCTCATAGTTTAAGAAATTAGAAGCAATAAAGAAAAGGGAGATAATAGGACAGACACAGAATGCATGAGCATGTGATCCCTGGTTGGACGGACTCGATTCAGTTTAGCACTGAGTCTAGGATACGTACATGCTTCATAAAGCTAGATTGCTGTTTAAATTGCAGAAGCAATATAGAATAGTGATGAAGAGTTTGGGGTCTGGTTCCAGAACATTGGATTTAAATTCCAGTCTGCCATTTACTACCTGCAGTAATGTAAATTTCTTACTCTTTAAATGTTATCGTTTCCCTGTTGTAAAATGAGGATAGCAATCCTCCGCATCTCACAGGATTACCTTCAGAATACAAGGCACTTAGAACACTGTCTGGCACATTTTAAATGTCCAGTGAATGATTTTATGATTAGCAGGCATGTCATCTGCAACCGGCCCTGCTCCCTACTGTGAGCTTAGGCCAGCTACGAAATACTTCCAAGTTGAGTAACTGTTACGGACAATACCTCCCCTCAAATAGAGTATGGGAATAGAAATGAGATGAAAAAAAGCGCAACTCACAAGGCACAGGAGGTTACCACGAATTCTTCATCTAGAAGACCAATAACCTTGGGCATTTTTACTTGGACCTCAAATTTAGGCAAAACTGTTTTCATAAAAGAGAAAAACAGCGGTAAGAGTGGGCAGGAGATCTTGCGAGTGTTGGTAATAGATGCAACGACAGAACCTTTACCATGTGATCACATGAAGTGACTTCAGCTACAATAGGGAGCCCAGGGACGATACTGAGACGGAGATGACACCCATTACCATGAGCAATCTGTACTACGTTCACGTGGTTAAGTTGATAATACGTTACCCTCTTTCTCTGAATTTGTGCAAGATTTCCCAAAGAGAGGAAAAGCAGCACCATTAGTTCCCGACGATCATCACAGCTAGACGTGGTAAAGAGGGACCAACGGGCTTCAATATATTCTGATTATTTCCCTCCCTGTGCCCAGCTCTTCTTCCCAAATGCTGGCCCTGCTGACTAACGGAGGTCGCAGGCCCGCCGTGTGACACTGGGCTGTGAGCCCACTGAAGTGCTAGCTATGCAGCGCGCAGAGGCAGCCGCCTGGCAAGACTCATCCGTCAGCGCCTCCGCGGGGCTGGTGCACTTGGGCGGCCGAGAGCACCTGTCCTCCCAGACCTTTGCAAGCTCACATTTATATACCCGCAATCACGCTTCAGAACTGGCTAGGAATTTCCTCTCATCTGTCAAATCCTCCTGATGGCCTCTGACTTTTCTAGCTTCTCTCACGGTTTTGTAAGGTGTTATTCCTAGAATATGTTCCTATTCTGGGATTCTGGTGAGTTTTGAGGACCATGTTTTGTGGTAGGACTTCTCAGCCATGGCATGAAACGTTTAATTTACGTTACAAAATCCACATAACTGATGACTAATAAAATGGCTTCAATGTCTGACTTAGTAATCGACTATGGTCGAGTATTAACTAAATCAACTGTATTAAAGTTTAGCTCATTATTATACTTACTTGAACGGTAGTTTAGTTGATCACAAAATTCTATGATTTAGGAATCACAGTTGATAGAGTAGCATAGGTGTAGGTTATAGACAACCATAAAATAATCCCAGGAAATACTTTCAGTTATAAAATACAAAAAACAGGTCAGGCACGATGACTCACGCCTGTAATCCCAGCACTTTGGGAGGCTGAAGCAGGCAGATCACAAGGTCCATAGATGGAGACGATCCTGGCTAACACGGTGAAACCCCATCTCTACTAAAAACACAAAAAATTAGCCAGGCATAGTGGCACAAACCTGCAATCCCAAGCTACTCGGGAGGCTGAAGCAGGAGAATCACTTGAACCCCAGAGGCAGAGGTTGCAGTGGGCTGAGATAGTGCCATTGCACTCCAGCATGGGCAATGAGCAGGAGTCCATTTCAAAACAAAAAAAAGAAAAGAAAAAGAAAACCACCAAAAAACAGGTACATAGTGTATGTAAGTGACACAATGTACTGGTTAACAACTTATGTTTGAGAGGGACAGCAGGGGGTGGGGAGTTGGGGAGAGATAGCATGGAGAGAAATGCCAGATATAGGTGATGGGGAGGAAGGCAGCAAATCACACTGCCACGTGTGTACTTAGACAACAATCTTGCATGTTCTTCACATGTACCCCCAAACCTCAAATGCAATTAACCCCCCCCCCCCAAAAAAAAGACCAAAGGGATCTATTCAAATCTTTTTTGCCTCTTAGTGATTCTGGATTTTTGTAAGTTACTAACTTTCTCAGTACTGATATGCTCATTTGCAAAATGGCATAATAGTAGTATCTGCCCCAGAGGGGCACTGTGAGAATTAAATGAGGTAGTACATAAAAAGCACTTAGCAAATAGACAGGTACATTTCAAAGCTTGCTAATTTTCAACTGTCATAAGCTAGACCTTTGATTCTCACATATATGTAAAAATTATCTAACATTAAATACTCTGACGTTATAAATGTCCTACACATGTAGCATTCTTACCATATTCATTCACCTCAAATGAGTGCTTTATTTTCTTCCCTGACTTTTTCTGCAGTATGATGTTGTAGGAACCCAGAAACGGCTCCACTGATAGCGGGAAAGAGAGTTGGCTGAGTCCCGTTTCCAATCTGAGACTTTGCCAATGGAAAATTCGGTCACCCTTGGGGTCCTATAGAGGAAAATAGTATGAGTTCATAGAAACAATTGAAATGTGTACCTTTGAGCAGAATGGCAGCTTTAGAGGTAAGAATGGTGTAGGGAGCTGTATCACAGGTAGTTGGTAAACTGGCCCAAAGGTATTAGCAAAGGTTTATAGGAATTCCAGCCAGAGGTAAGGTGAATAAGTTTACTAGCTATGAGACATTACAGATAACATTCCATACTGATGCCTCTTTTTGGTATTATGTATATTTAGGTTGGTCAGAAATAATGGACGAGTCACTAAATTGCATCATCTCAAGAAATGTTCCTCCATTTATACCTTATCCACTCAGAATTTAAGGTGGATAGGGAAAACAGCATTTGTTTAGCTTTGGGGAAATGGGGAGGGGGGAAGGGAGAGAGGCAGTTTGATGTAACTGGTAGTGAATCCTCATTCCAGCTGTAATGTACAATATAACACTTACCTCAACATAAACCACTGGGAACTGAAAAGAAAAGAAGCTAGTATGAGCACGTGGTAGGATACAGAAGGACAAAACCATGACACCAGCACTGACAGAGGGTATGGACAGAGAAAGTGAGTTTCTGTTTCCAAACGAGGAAACACCCTGTTTACTTCACAGCACTTTATATGTTTAGCTTGGGACATACATATCTCAAGAAGTCATGACTTTCCTATTGTTAAATAACGTACAATTGAGGAAACCTATTGAGATAAAAAGGTCTGAATAAGAAGTTTATTATTATTTCACGATGATCTTTGTGTAAGAGGGGAAGCAAATTCACAAATAACTGGAATCTTTAAGAGGACAATCTCAATTGCATGCTGAATTCATTTTAAGAATGCAGTGTATGGAGGACCTTGATTCTGACCTCTTTTATTCTTCTAGCAGAGGTACCCTTATGAGATCTTTCTGTAGTGGGTTTAAAGTACCTCTTTTATTGGTCTCAAGTTTCCCAAAAGAGTAGGTCTTACATTTTCCCTCAACCTTCACCTACTGTTATGAGACTCACCATTTCATCAACAGGGTGGAAATTGACGTCCACAGAGACAATACGGAATTGCACTGAAACAGAGATATTTTCCTGTGAAATACCCCAGCGGAGCCTGAGGGAGTAACAGCATCCCTGAATTCCCCGGACTGCAGAATAAAGTCATGAAGAAGCTCCTCCCCTCTCCCAAAGGTCCGCTTGCTCATTTGATTCCCCATACCTGTTTGTCCTGGTTTGTATATGTGTTTGTCTGTCTGGACAAAGACTAGGTTCTCTGGCGTGGTTACGTATACTGGTTTCCTCTTTTTGAAATGCAGATTTGGCCCCTTTACCTCCACAGCAATGTCCGCCCAGGAAAATGATAGTTTTGGAATCTGTAAAACAGAAATCAGCTGAAGAATTTGCCCAGACTCACTTCCAAATTTCTCAGCCATTAGAAGTTTCTGTCTTCCTGGTTAATCCCTGAGCATTAGTAAGGAACAAAGTCAAGGATTATGCTGCTTGTTTTAAAAGTAGATTAGGCCGGGCGCAGTGGCTCACGCCTGTAATCCCAGCACTTTGGGAGGCCGAGGCGGGTGGATCACAAGGTCGAGAGATCGAGACCATCCCGGTCAACATGGTGAAACCCCGTCTCTACTAAAAATACAAAAAACTAGCTGGGCATGGTGGCGCGTGCCTGTAATCCCAGCTACTCAGGAGGCTGAGGCAGGAGAATTGCCTGAACCCAGGAGGCGGAGGTTGCGGTGAGCCGAGATCGCGCCATTGCACTCCAGCCTGGGTAACAAGAGCGAAACTCTGTCTCAAAAAAAAAAAAAGTAGATTATTATGATGTTGTAACATGACAGTAAAAAAATTGAAGGAGAATATATTGCAATAAAATGAGCTAGTTCTTCAATCCAGTTATGACTGAAATGGGATGCTTGCACTTTCATAGCAAAATGGTGATATTAAAATAATTATTAAATTTTATTTTTCAAAGGGCAAAAGCATTATATATTATCTGGTTAGGCATGGTGGCTCATGCTTTCAGCCTCAGCACTTCGGGAGGCCAAGGTGGGCAGATTGCTTGAGCCCAGGAGTTCAAGACCAGCCTGGGAATCATAGTGAGACTCCCACCTCTACAAAAAAAAAAAAAAAAAAAAAAAAAAAAAAAGAAAAGAAAAGAAAAAAGAAATCATCCAGGCATGATAGTGCATGTCTATAGTCCCAGCTACTCAGGAGGCTGAGGTGGGAGGATCACCCGGGCCTGGGAGGTCAAGGCTGCAGTGAGCCATCATTGGCACCTCTGCACTCCACCCTGGGTGCCAGAAAGAGACCCTGTCTCAAAAACAACTTCGATAAGTCGGTCATTTGACTTTATAAATCTCAGTGTTTCTGTCTGTAATGGCACGAATATTATTTGTCTCAGAAGTTTAAGATCAGTTTAAATCACTTCCGTAACTACTGTTACATTTTATGCATGCACTCTGTAAATATGATGTGAGCATATTCAGTAGAACTTCCATTCCTAAAATCTAATTGGAGATTCACTCTGTATTCCTCATTTTTCTTTCATTACGCAATTTTAGTTTCAAAGGATCACAACGACATCGGCTAATATGCTCTTTCTCTACCCATCTCCCTTATTTCAAGAAGCAGTACTGACCGTGAAGGGACGGCAGTAGACAGAGTTTCTCCTGGTCACCCGCTCTGTGAGGAGGAGGCTGCTCTGCATGTCATAGATCAGAGTTGCTGTCAGTGTCACTGTCTCATTCAGGTGATGAAGGATGACACAGGCCTGTTCAGGAACTCCACTGTAGAGGTGGGATGGGACCAGCAGTAGGTACTGCCTGTGGAGGAGAGAGGTCCAGATTAACTATGAAGGGGTCAAAAAGACATCATTATTATGACTATATTCTACATAATCTTTGCTTTTGTCACCAGTCACGGAACAGAGACGTGTTTCAGCAGAAGTGTATTCTCCAAAGGCCAACCGAAAAGATCTGAGGAACTGAGAAAACCCCAGATTAAACCCCCAGATATGCTTATCTTCTGTTGTGGAAATATTCACCGACATAATATTAGAAATCGTGTCGATAGCCATGGGTAAGTAATCCATGAGTCATTATATGTTTTGAATACAAATTTCAAAATTTTAAGATATGAATTAATCAACAAATCATCATTGGAAGCAGTAAGAACCTCTCTGTATGTGGTCTGGGGTTTGGCATGGATGATACTACAAATCTCTTTGTTCCAGGAGACTACAAAAAATATACATTTAATACATTGGGAGAAGCTGAATTGTTTATCACTACAACTTTGGGAGTAGGCATATCTTTTCTTTCTGTAGCTCTTTGGTGATGGAGACAAGGCATGCTGGGCTAGGCTAATCACCAGATATGTTGCCATATACACCTGGAAGAAAATATCATCCTCCTGTCACCGATTGCCTCTCACAGTCACCCAAAACAGACTACACCCTGGGATGCTGTATGTGTGCACACTCTGCTCTCTCTTCTTGAGTGTCCCTGTCTACTTGGAAAACTTCTATGTGCTTCATTAGACTTATCTCAAAAGTGACTTTCTCTGCGCAGAATTTGGTGAAGCCCTGTCTCTTACATCAGGCCTCATGAAGAGTGAGGTTTCTTTGGGAGTAGTCGGTCAGAATCCTGCAATGCCTGCTTCTGTTTTTGTTCTATAGTTCACTCTCTGTGCACCATCTCTCTACTTTTCCATACTGTGAGGTGCTGAGAGCAGCTTCTGACTTTTGTTAAGCTGGAGATTCCCAAGACCTAATGCCAGCCCCTAACAGCATGCCAAGAATTGAGTGAACTGCCACACAAATCCCAGCTCGTCTGTAGATCACGCATTCATCTTGGCAATCCTTGACTTGAGGAACACATAGTTACTGAGTCATTTCACAACTGTTAACAACACAAAATCCATTTTATGATTCAATAAACAATGTATCCCTTTTTGGGTAGGAATTCTGTTTTCTTTTTTGGTAAATGTTTCATAGATGTTGCTGACCTACATCTGCGAGTTTCCTGAAATTGGTGGATGTCTCTTTCCACATGAGCAATAATGCCTTACTGATTCTTCCTAGCCCTTTTGATAGCAGAAAATTGTGTAGGGAATTAGGAAATACAAATCAAAGAGATAATACAGTGGGAAAAAAAGAAGGACAATATAATCTTCTGGAAATAGTGCTTACGGCTCTGCAGCAGCTGAAGCATCCCTGGGAAGGAGCAGCAAGAGCAGGATCAATACCGGCTGGGGCAGCTGATTTCCTGTCATGGTGCCGAAAGGAAGAGGGCAGATGGGAGTCTGAGCCCTCAATTCTTTGAACCATGTTCTTATTCCAACTGGTTTTTATTTTACCGAATGGGCAGTGAAAGTAAACTGCCAATCACTTATTTTTGTAACATATTAACTACTTCCAGTATAAAGAAAATCAATTCCAGATAACTTTTATGACCATATCTATTATTTTATTTACTTTCCCAAATTTTCTAAATTCCTAAAAAATAGTGGTTTGAGGCTACCACTAGCTCAGGTCATTAATCAGATTTTAAAATATTTTCATAGTTTGAATTTCTGGAATGGAAGAATAAATCTCAAGAATTATCCAAACTTTATCATCCTAATGTTTAATTAAAAATTTTAGATGCTACATTTGAAATATTTGACATAACAGGGCAACAAACAATAATTTCTCAACACTGTCAGCTAAGGCCTCTATACTCTTGTGATCTTCAAACATTTTCCTTGCATTCCTTAAAAGAATTTTATTAAACATGTAATATCTTACATACACTCGACATCAAAAAATTTTAACCATTAGCAAGATGACAAAAAAGTGTAGTACAATACTGACATTTAAAAAATAAAAGTGTAATATCACTTTTAAAATGTATCCAATGAAATGTAAATATTGCAGTGATTTTTTTTTCTTTTTGCCTGCTACTGTTCCTGTAAAACACACTGTGAATACTTTTTTCACCAGTAAGAAACTTTATATCACCCTTGTTTCATTTTGATCTTGTGTTTTCATTCAGCTTCCTCAGGTAATTTTATCCTGGAGTTGCATACTTCAGTATATTTTATTGATTACCCTATTATATGTTTCTGGAATTAAATATCATCAAAAATTATTATTAAAAATATTCTTGAGCCTGTAAAGTTCTAATTAGTAATAAATGTTTTCTAGATTGCATTATCATTAAAATGATCAACATACTATTTGTAAAATTATATATATGTACTATAATCTTAATAGATATTAAAAATGAGAACATGTTGTTCAAAATATTTTTTTAGTCAAATAAATTGTGTATTTCAGCCGGCTCCCTCAAATAAGATTGTGTATTCTTGGATGAATATTGCTTTTTACTGGATTAAAATAAGTTTCACTTATTCTCTATTTTTTCTACTCTGCTCTATTTCAATTCTAGAATAATTCTATTATCTTTTCTATTGTATAGATGTAAGCAGTAAGAAAATCTATTCACATAAAAAGAGAAATAGAAATAGAGGACATTGTATTATAACAATGTTGTCTAATTATTTAGGCTTCCAAGTTATAAGCCAAAGATCACATTATAATCATTAAAAATTGTTTTAATGATCTATCAGCTGATAAATCCTCTGTAATTTTATGGAAAACAAAGTGCTAAAGCAGGTCAATTGCAAAAGGATTTGAAAATCAATCATTATGATCATTGTTATTCTAGGTTCCTAGAAAGTATTCAATAAAGGCTTAAAAGGACTTATAAATGGCCAGCAATCATTATTCTGCTACTTAAAAACACAACTTTTACCATATACTCAGAAAGTTTGGAAATTTTATAATATCATTAACTTTAATATGCTTTTGTCAACATAAAGCCTCATAAAAGTCTTTCATCTGATCAAAACCATAACCTGTACATTTAACTCATTTTTCATTTAAAGAAAGTGTCCACCAGTAACATAATTTACAAAACCCGTCCTTATTGTCAAAATAATCCATCAAATTAGACTCATTTCTGACAGGATAAAATGTTGTTTAATTTTTAATTTCAATAAACCCACTAACATATATTCCCGGGACGACGCTCCCGTTCTGCAATTCTAAGATAAAGAGTTTGGCTGAATAGTTGCTACTTAGATGAAGTAAGACAATCCTACTTTGATATTTCATTCCATGCTGTCTGCTTAATTCTTATGGAACTCTCAGGGGAATATAAACATTGACAAGAGTTAGAAAAGAGAAGAGGGGAATTTTAAATGTAAATTGTAATTGTATCTGTCACCTCTACAATATATACGAGTACAGAAAATTTCAGAACAGGCCAAAAGAATCCATTTCTAATATCATGTTTTTCTTACACCAGAAATTGTTTTAAGACAGATGGGTATATGATACCTACAATGGGCTTATGATGCCTTAAGAGAGTTTGTGCAAATATCAATATTTTGATTAATCCTTTTGCAAGACATTTTTCACTCCAAGATACATCTAAAATAGATATTATCACTGCAAGAGAAAATTGTTGCATTAAAATGAACTCATAAGTTATGCCTTGATTATATTATAGCATGAAGACAGTGATTTTATATCATTACCTACTACAATTGTAGGATTATTGATCATGCACAATTTCGGGGATCCCAGAAATGACATTGACATAAACTGAGGGCAAAGTTGACTGTAACTAAAAGATTTTAGCCAAATGTCAAAGTCAAAGATAAATGTCATAGTGCCCCAATAAATAGTATGTGTTTGTCAAAAGTGATAAACCTGAAGACTTCATCGCAACATCAAAGACTTTAATGAAAAAGACAAGACAAAAGCTAAGTTATGACCATAATTACAGCATTAAATATAGGGACTAGAAGAGAAGAAATATACGTGAAAAAAGTTGACTTTGTAATTGCAAGTAGTTTTGTTGTGTTAATTGTATAAAAGATTTTTCAAATGGTTCAAAATAAAGCTATTTTTCAAAGGAACTCTGAAAAAGACATCATTACCTTTGGACATGTTTCTAAACAAACTTTATTTCCAAAGACAGATGTGTTTACAGAGCATTGAGTAACTTTGAGTGGGTTGAGAATGAAAATGTCCTGGCCACCTGAGTATACACTGGGGAAGGCAGAGTTGGAATCACTGGCATATGTGGAATGAAATTAATGCTTACATTAGCACTTTGGAATGTAAATAGCAATACTCTCAACAAACAAACAAACAAACAAAAAGCAGGATTCTTGGTTGTAAAATTTATCTACCATGATAATATGCTGGTTAATCCTGCATGTTTTTTCTTCTTGTGAATACTTGGCCTGGCAGAGAACAGGCTGGAAAAATCAGGAGATTGCTGACCATGTTTCCATCCCTTAAGTATTTCCCTGCATGGATTCTGAGAAGCAGAACAAATGATAAAAACATGATGAATGTGCTTTTCATCTTATAAGAAAGACTCACACTTAATATGACACTATACTAATATTCAGAGATGAGGCCAGAGGGTTTGTTAGCTGAGCTGTAATTCCACCTGTCTGCTTTAGTTAATACTGCAGTAGCACTTCCTTCGATACACATTATTCAAAACTGCCCTCGTGGCAAAATAATCTCCTACCAGCCCAGTCTTCTTTATTATATTAAAATCAAATTTTTGATTCATTAAAGACATTATGAGGAGAGTGAAAGGAAAAGTCACAGGGAAGAAAATGGTATTTTCTGTACACAGAATTGCCAAGTGCTTATACCTAGAATATATTGAAGACTTCCAGAAATAAATTAGAAAAAGACCTAGCATCTTGCTCAAAAGAATACCCACATAGCTAATAAATATATGAAAAGTACTTGGTCTCCAGAGAAATGCAAATTAATACCATGATGAAATACTCTACATACCCTAAAAAATGGTTAAAGTTAAGATTCATAATGCCAAGTTTTAGTGAGCACGCGGAGCAACTGAACCTCTCATCCAGTTGTGAAAATCATCATTATCTACTAGAATTAGCCATCCACAGGACCTCTGCCCCAGCAATTTTGACCACTACATAAATACAAAGGAGAGTGGTAGGAAATGTGCAAAAAGCCCCTGATGTGAACATTTGTAGTTGCATTATCCGTCATGGCTCTAAATTGAAAACAACTCAAATGTCCAACAACGAGAAATGTACATTGTGGTATATTCATACAATTAAAACTATATAGTGTTTTTCAATAAAATGGAATAATGTCATTTACATCAATGTCAGTGAGTCCCATGAATATAGAACTGAGCATAAGATTCCACACACACACATATACACAAACACATTACAAATCATATAATTCCACTTACAGAAACACAGATGTGTTCATTCTAAGTCATTCCAGACTAGTCTTTTTTCTTAGTGAGTCAGCAATCATGGTTTTGCTCAGGAGAATGAAATGTTTCACATCTGCACACGCATACCCCGGGATGCCCAGTTACCACAACCCCAACCTGCTGACTCTTTGTCCTTCGATGCCTCAGCCATACGAAACTTCTTGCTTTTCTTTGGCAGTTGAGAATCTTTCTACTTGACTTGAAGCCTTCTCGTCGTTTATTATCTTCTCCTGTATTGTTCTTCTGCAGATATTCTGAGACCTAACTTCTTCACCACCTTAAACCATTGCTCATCTGGCTGGGCGCGGTGGCTCACGCCTGTAATCCCAGCACTTTGGGAGGCTGAGGAGGGTGGATCACGAGGTCAAGAGATCGAGACTATCCTGGTCAACAAGGTGAAACCCTGTCTCTACTAAAAAAAGAAAAAGAAAATATAAAAATTAGCTGGGCATGGTGGTGCATGCCTGTAATCCCAGCTACTCAGGGGGCTGAGGCAGGAGAATTGCTTGAACCCAGGAGGCGGAGGTTGCTGTGAGCCGAGATCGCGCCATTGCACTCCAGCCTGGGTAATAAGAGCGAAACTCCGTCTCAAAACAAACAAACAAACAAACAAAAAAACCCAAAAAATAAAAAAAAGAAAAAGAAACCATTGCTCATCTATCAGCTTCTCAATGAGGTCTACCCTGATCACAGCATTTAAAATTGTAAAGTCTAACTCCCAATCTTGTGGTACTCTTGATCTTCCTTGCTGTGCCTTTCAAAAAATAACACTTGTCATTTTATGACATATTATATAATGAACTTACTTATATTTCTTATTTATTGCCTATCTCTCCTCTCTAGAATATAAGGCAGATATGTCTTGTTTTTCACTATTTCTTGTTATTGAGGAGTATATCCACTAATAACGAGCATTCTATAATTGTTTGTTGAATAAATAAATGAAAGAATTATGCAACCATGAAACATAACACT